AAAAGGGTATTCAAGTACAACAGCATCAGATCTGATACCGAGCTCAGGTTTTACAGAGCTGTTGTGATTCCTGCCCTCCTATATGGCTCCGAGACATAGACTGTCTACAGCAGATACCTCAAAGTAATGGAGCAGTACCACCGATACTGCCTGCGTAAGATCTTACTAATTTGCTGGGAAGAAAGACACAGCAACACCACCGTCTTGACCAGGCCAACATCCCCGGCATCGAGGCACTGCCCAGCTTTGATCAGATGCGATGGGCTGGGCAGGTCGTCCGCTTGACTGACATGAGAGTCCCCAAACAGATGCCGCCCTCCTACCTCCGAAATGGCAGGAGGACAGAGGAAGCGCTTCAGTGATACCCTTAAGGCTTCATGGTGAAGTGCAGCATTTCCACAGACAACTGGGAATCACTGGCCCAAGACCATCCAAAGTGGAGGAGGAGCATTTGGGAAGGTTTTGAGCACCTTGAGACTTGCCGTTGGGGAGAAAGTGGAATCCAGGCAATAACAGCGTAAGGAGCGCGCTGCCACACCAATGCTGACCCACCCCTTCCCACAACTGCCACCTGCCCCAAGTGTAACAAAGCCTGCAGAAGCTGCATCGGTCTGTGCAGCCACCTACAGATTCAACCTCTGAGTGGAAGAGAGTCCTCCTCGTCTGCGAGGGGGTGCTAATGATGATGGGACTTGTCCTGGAAATCCTCAGCATTGAATTCGATGATGTTTCTGGACAAACATGGGCAAAAAGACCTCCTGCTGATTACTATGTACTGGCCTTTCTCTAGTTGCATGGATTGGCCTGGAAACAAACAAAGGTAGGTTATCTTGAGGAGGGGATGAATTTTCGAATAGGTCCCTGTATCTTTGGCCTTGCAAGTTTATTTGAAGACACAAGCTTTCAGAGTCTCCCTCATTCAGGTGTCTTCAGATAAACCTGTTCGACTATAACCTGTGTGATTTTTGACCTTGACCACCCCAGTCCAATGCCAGCACCTCTGCATCTTTGGCCTTGACAGATTCCTTGCCCCAAAGTTTGCCTGATTTACAGTCTTTGTGTCCAGACCTTAGAGTAGGACCAGTTAGGCCTGATCCACAGTTGTGGGTGGAGAACATGAGTCTGAACCTCCATCTCCAATTCCAGGAATCTTATTTAAATATGAACATTCGTATATAGATGCATATAAACAAACCTGAGAATTAGCTCAGGGAATCAGGGTCAGCAACTCCTTCATGTTGAACAATATTTGGAGAAAGCATTGAGGGTGGTGAGTGGAGGATTTTGGTGTCCACCACGAAGAATGGTTTGCCGGCAGCATTACTGATCAAGCTGCTTGAGTCCTAAAGAGCACAGCTGCCTGACTGGAACTGCAGCAAATGGTGAGAGAACCAACAAATTGGGGGAGAAAATACTTGCCCTCATCCTTGTCTGTCTACCTGTTGCAGATGCATCTATCCATGACAGTATCAATAAGGGTGACCACTGCACAGTCTTTGTGGAGACAAAGTTGCTCCTTCATATTGAGAATACCTTACATTGTGTTGTGTGGCATTGTCACCAAACTAAATGGAACAGACTTTGAAGAGATCTAGCAACTCAAATTTTGACATCCATGAGACAGGGCTAAGCTATCCTACAACCAATGGATCAGGTGTAAGCTCTGCAGTCCTGCCCATCCCATCATCAATGGTGGTGGGCAATCGGACAACTCACTGAAGGAGGGGTCTACACAGAAATCTCCAACCTCAATGATGGGGGTGAGGCAGTCTTCAGCCAGAAATGCTGTATCTTGCCTCCTCCAGAGGTCCCCTACATTACATATGCCAGTCCAATGCTAATTCAATATATTCCACATGATATCAAGAAACAATTGGAGGCATGGATACTGGAAGGCTGTGGACCCTGACAACATTGCAGCAACAGTGCTGCAGCCCTAGCCTAGCTGTTCCTGTACATTTGGCATCTTCTGAGCCAGTAACCACCCCATTAGTCTGCTCTCAATCATCACAAAATGCTGGATAGTGGCATCAACAGTGCTATCTAGCAGGACCTAATCCAGCAATAATCTGCTCACTGATGCCCAGTTTTGATTCTGCCAGAGCCATTCATCTCATTACATTTTAGTTCAAACATGGACATAAGAACTGAAGTCTAGAAGTGAGGCATGAGTGACTGTTCTAGACATCAAGGCTGCATTTGACTGAGTGTGCCATCAAGGAGCCTTCCAAAACTGGAATCAGTGGGAATCATGGAAAAACTCTCGACTTTGAGTCATACCTGCCACAAAGGAAGATGATTATTGGAGCTAAGTCACCTCAGCTCCAGTAAATCTCTGCACGAGTCTCTGAGTAGTGTCCCCAGGTCTAACCATCTTCAGCCACTCTATCAATAACTTTCCTTTTTTCAGAATGTCAGTGTTCGGCACTGTTCACAACTCCTCAGATACTGCTCAAATGCAACAAGACCTGGCCAAAATCCAGGTTAGGGTTGACAAATGGCAAGTAACATTCACATCACATGAATGCCAGGCAATGACCAAAAAGAGACAATCTAACTTATGCTGCTTGACATTCGTTGGCATTCCTATCACTGGATCCCCCACTATAACATCTTGGGGAACACTATTGACCTGAAATTGAACTGGATCAGCCATAGAAGTACAGTGGCTACAAGAGTAGATCAAAGACTAGGAATCCTGCAGCAGGTAACTCACCACTGATTCCACCATCTGTCCAAAGTCTGTCCACCATCTCCATCAACAAACATATTGAATTAGACCCCAATATACCAAACATTATAACGCACAGCTAAAATGGCACCTACCCGAAGTAGCAAAAACCAGACCATATAAATTCGAACCAGCACAAGACAACAGCGCTTCACAGGAGGCTGCACAGTGCTGAGGATGTCAGCTAGTAAGGGGACAAAACATCTGCTATCAAACCTTGACGGGCATTGTTGTATGTCATGGACCTTGTAAAGGTAAAACTGCTTCATAATAGCAATATAAAAATGACATGAGACTTCCCCAGGAAGACTATTTAACAAACCTTGGCATGTTGGGTTGAGTTCAGAAGCCACTGCAGAAACTTGAAGCAGCATTTTGGAAAAAAAAAGTTTCACGAAGACAGAATGGGCCTCTATACACAAGCATAAGATTGCATCCATAGTATTTTCTTATGACTAAGTTGAATTTGCAACCACATAATCTAACTGATTTTGCTAGTAGGAAACCTCTTTCTGGAGGTACGTGTTAAATGGAGCATTAGTGCAAAACACTGAACAGAAAAGAAAGCTAGTGATTATTTTAGAGAAACATGTTCAACAGTTATTCTGATTGCTGCATTTAAAAATGCACTTTACAATTAGGCACTTGAGATTATCCAATGATACTTTAAGAAAGGATTGAGACGATACAGGCAGATTGTTCACTGTGGTGAAACATTAAAAACCCAGGAGGGGCAAAGGTCAAATTTGGGAAGTTATGATTTGAAAGGTGTCACAGTTGACTCTTGTGCAGACCATAAGTATGTAGATTTAATTATTGTAAAACTAAGAATGGTGTGTTTGTCCTTTTTACCAGCTGCTTAAACTTTCTGGCCTTTTTCCAAACTTTTTAAAAAAAGGAAAATCCTGACCTCGCTGAATCCATTTAAGGAAATTCTTGCAGATCGTCACCTTATTTCTGTCTTGACTTTTGCAAAGCTTTGTATCAAATCCAATGCCTACTACTTAATTATTTACACCACCAAATTTTAGGGAACCGAATACACCATGAATATCAGTGAGTTGGATACTTTGTTTTTTGAGCCATGGAATGTGAGTATCACTGGTTAATTGTCCTTGGCAATAGCAGGGACACAACAGGCCAAAGGGTCTTTTCCTGTGCTGTAGATCTATGTCTGCCATTTGACTTGTCAATGCTGAAAACCATGACAAGCTGTCTTGAGTTTGTGTCTGCGCTAAAAAGCAATGTAAGGCAGAAATACATGAGCCTTTAACTTGGCTGAGGGAGCACCCTGGTTCAGTCCCTGACTTGGATGCCTATCCCTGTGCACGAAGTGCCTCAATAGCAACACTATAATGGAACAGCAATGAATTGCAGTTCCTTACTATAATTTGGTTGGAGATCTGCCACGAGGATGAACGGGTGCGCCATGCTATGTCAATCTCATTCCTGTACTATATGCCAGCAGTGCGCATACAAAATACTGTATGTGGTTCAACTGAATGGCCATGTCTCAAACTCTGTGAGGATTAGCCCTCAGTCAGGTCAAAAGAAATAACCATCAGCTAGATAGTATCAGCACAGTGAGACAAGAACAGTATTCGTGCTTAGTCCGGGGACTTGGGCATGATCAGTTGACCGTTTAGAGTAGTCAGTGTGAAGATATCTGTACTTCTACTTTCTGGGAAGTGGGCCATGGTTCGGCCTGCAGGTCCAGTACAACTAGTCTGGGGATTCATGGTACATCAGCCAAGGAGCTGTGCACAGATCAGTCAAGGGTTTGATCACTTATCAGTTGGGGATATCTGTCCAAGACAGTTAGAGTGGCCTGCTAGTCCTAGAGGTCAGCTTTATGAAAGTTGAGGGGTTATCAGGAGTTACTGCTGTAATAGGGGAATTAGGGAACTCCAAGCTAGGGATTAGATGTAGTATACTGGGATGTATAGAGGTAAATAGTTTTGAAGAGAGGAAACCCAACTTATAAGAGGAGGAACCGATAGTGCTTTGAAGGAAATGGGTTACTACAGGATTGCACATCCTTGATCACAACCATGCTAGCTTTTAAGGGAGAGCTACAAGTTACAATGGGCACTGGGGACAAAAACAGAAGTTGCTGGAAAAGCTGAGCACGTCTGGCAGCATCTGTGGAGGAAAGTTCAGAGTTAACATTTCGGATCCGGTGACCCTTTCTCAGAACTGATGGTAACTGGGAAAACGTCAGTTTATATGCAGAAAATAGGGAGGGGGATGGAGTAGGGAGTAAACAATAGGATAGAGCCCAAAGAGAGAGAAGAGCAATTGGATAAACAAAGGAGTTGATAATGATCTGGCTAGGACTGAGTAGTTGTTAATGGGGACTGTTAGTGACTAACAAGAGGTGGTGTGTAATGGCAGGCTATGTGGTAACTAAATCTAATGTGTGGGATATGGGACTGCGACATGGGAGAGTTAGGCCCTAAAATTATTGAACTCTATATTGAGTCCTGAGGGCTGCAGGGTCCCCAAGTGGAAAATGAGGTGCTGTTCTTCCAGCTTGCGTTGAGCTTTGCTTGAACACTGCAGCAAGCCAGAGACACACATGTTGGCCAGGGAAGAGGGTGGTGTGTTTAAAGTGGCAGGCAACAGGTAGCTCAGGGTCTTTTTTTGTGAGCAGAACAGAGATGTTCTGCAAAGCGGTCACCCAGTCTACGCTTTGTTTTCCCCATGTAGAGGAGACCACATTGTGAGCAGCGAATGCAGTAGACTAGATTCTGGGAAATGCAGGTGATGTGTTGCTTTACCTCAAAGGTATATTTGAGCTGTTGGATAAAGGGGAGGGAGGAGGTAAATGGGCAGGTGTCGCACCTTTGCCGGTTGCAGGGGAAGGTGGTGTGGGGCTGTGGGTGTTGCTAGGGGTGAAGGAGTAGGGACCAGGAATGGTCCCTGTGGAAGGCGGACAAGGGAGGAGAGGGAAATATGTGTCTGGAGGTGGCAGAAATGGCGTCTGATGATCTTCTAGATGTGGATGCTGGTGGGATCGTAAGTAAGGACAAGGGGAACCGTATCGCTGTTGCAGGAGGGAACAGAGGGGCTGAGGGCGGAAGTGTGGGAGATGGCTCGGGCCTGTTTGAGGACCCTGTCGACATGGTGATGGGGAATCCTCGGTTGAGGAAGAAGGTGGACATTTTGGAGGCTCCCTTGTCAAAGTTGGCCTCATCTGAACATATGCAACGGAGATGGCGGAACTGAGAGAATGGGGTGGAGTCTTCACAGGAAGGAGGGTGCGAGGATGTATAGTCCAGCTAGCTGTGGGATTCAGTGGGTTTATAGTGGATATTAGTGGCCAGTCTATCCCCAGAAATAGAAACCGAAATGTTGAGGAAGGGAAGGGAAAGGAGGAGTCAGAGATAGACCAGGTGGAAATGAGGGCAGGATGGAAATTGGAAGCGAAATCGACGAACTTTTCCAATTCCAGATAAGAGAGGGAAGCAGCTGATATCATCAGAAAGAGTTGTGGGTGTGGGCTGGAATAGGACTGGAACAAGCAATGTTCCACGTACTCCACGAAGGGACAGGCATAACTGTGGCCCATGCGGGTACCCGTGGCCACCCCCCTCTCTTCTGAAGAGAAGAAGTTAATGGAGAAGTTGTTGAGGGTGAGGATGAGCTCGGTTGAGCGGAGGAGGGTGGTGGTAGGTAGGGATGGTTCAAGCCTTTGCACCAGGAAGAAGCAGAGAGCCCTAAGACCCTCCTGGTGGGGAATGGACATGTAAAGGGATTGCACGTCTGTGGTAAGGAGGCTGCAACTGAAAGTTTTGAAACCAACTAAAGCATCAGAGGAGTCACCAGATGTTCGTGGGCAGGGATTGGACCAGGGGAGAGAAGGGTATTGGGGATTAGATAATATTCTAAGATTAATGAGGCTACAAGTAACATGTATAGGAAGGTTCTTAAATAGCAATTGATTTGCACTTGTATTTTCAATGAATTACTAGCCGTACCACGTGTGCCCTAAGAAGCGTTTCCTTTTTGTTTCCCCCTCCCACAATGTATGTGCTGAAGAGCAACTGTCGGCTGGCAGCACTTTACCTGAGGCATAACTTGATTTAAAAATGTCACTGACACTGGGAAATCCCAGGAGATCCTAGCAGTGGAGAGTGCTTCCTCCTGCGGTCAGAGGGAAGATAAAATAAGCAGGGTGCAGTAGCAGCATGTACATAAATAACAAGGCAAGTTTTGGAGAATAGTGAGAGAAATCTCACCAGGGCTCAGAGAAACCTTCAATAAAACTTGCCAGAAATTACACAGTAAATTTCAGCCTCCTATTGTCTGAGTCAGGCGATACCAAAAAAGACAAATTTCAGCAACCTTTGCAAGGGTTAGATTCAGATCTGCTGTGGTTACCTACGTGACAAATGCATGTAATTGAAGTTAACTTTTTAGGAAGAAATCAAACTTTGACAGCAATTTGGATTATATCAGTGATATTCTTGTGATACCATGTATTCCAACCTAACTGTATCCAAATATTTTCATTTATTTTGCTGTGACCTAGCTGCATTTCTGATGCCAGTAATCAACTAATGTACCACTGCCTGTATTTACCTTACAGAGGGAACCAGCAGAAGAGGCTCTGAAAAGTAATAACCTGAATCTAGATCAAGCTATGGGTAAGTCTTGAAGGAAGAGTGCTGAAGTGGAATCTTGTTCTTATAGAAACTTTGACACATAAACATAATCATTAGAAATTTAAATCCTAGCTTACAAATAACATTTTTTTAAGCCTGATTTAGGCCTTCTTGCCAGATCTGTCAACCCCAATTTAAGAAAACAGCCCACAATGTTTTAAACAAATAATGTAATTAAGGCTTTCAATCCCAATTATAATGGGCTTGGGTGTTACCCTCCATTCAGTTGCTCAGTTTCATTAATTCACTGGTTATAGCATTCAGAATTGATCTCTTCTTCATAAAACGGTTTGTTGAAATCTACAACAATTGCTTTAAAAGTGATATTGCATCCTTATAACCATAAATAAAAACCATGCCAACTTTGGGTTCTGCTTCCCACTGCCTGGTCGGTGGTATCTACTTGTGGCCAAGCAACAGGGAAGTGTGATTAATGGTTGTTCCTTGATCTTTAATGGCTTTTCACCCAATTAGCATAAGGTGACCTGACTATTTAGTTAATTAGAGAAAAAAAGAACCTGGGCAACTTATCTAGCCATCTAATTATATATTTAAAAGTCATTCTCCATTCTGTACTTTGTTCTAAAGACAAGCCCACTTTTGCTCTCTCCCTTTAGATCTTGTAGGTTTAGTTGGCCTTCAGGCTTAATGACAAATGTCTTTTCTGTGTTTAGCTGGTGCTAATTACGACCCATGTTCCCCTCAACTTGTTCTAAAAAAAATTCTTCTGCGGTCACATTTGTTCTCCATACAGATGACCATTGATTTGGTTTACAAATTGCTTTTCCAGATGGCCTGATTCCTTGCCTGTGTGTATTTCTGTGTCCTCTGATCTGATCATGGATTATAGCTGGTCCAATCAAAAATGTTAACCGTTCCTTCCTTGGGCTTATGGTTGAATTGATGAATCTTTTCTGGAGTTGCTTTTTGCCAGTATTTCAAAAAAAAAGAAAATGTGACCCTGCTACATTCAGCTATCTGCTGTGGCCCTGCAAAACTTATTGTAAAATTGTAATATTGCAGACCAGTTGTGCTTAGGTGATAGAATAATTAATGTATTGCGCTGTTGGATTTTGTTCCTGTTTGTCACATGGTTTCCATCCCACTGCATGTCCAATGTGAACTTCAATCTTTGAGTTAAACTTAACCATATGGCCCCTTGGACTTGTTCCACCATTCAGTAACGGTTATGGCTGATCTTAGCCGCAGTTCCTTTTTTCCCATCCATATCCTATGACTCTTGCTTCCCTTGACATTCAAACATTTATGTACCCAAACCTTGAATATATTAAGTGGCTCAGCCTCTACAACTCTCCGGAGTAGGGAATTCCAAAGATTCATGTCCCTTTTATAAAAGTAAATATTTCCTCATAACGTAAAGTGACATTATGAAACTATGCCCCTAGTTCTAGATTCTCCCCAAGTGGGGAGGGGTGATGCAGAAATGATCCTTTCTTAAACTGCCTCAGAATTTGATATTCCGTAGAATTTTCATAGAATCCCTACAGTGAGGAAACAGGTCTTCCGGCCCAACAAGTCCATACCGACCCACTGAGCATCCCACCCAGACCCATTCCCCTAAAACCCACCTAATCTACACATCCCTATGTACACAACACTATGGGGAATTTAGCATGGCCAATCCACTAACTTGCACATCTCCAGACTGTGGGAGGAAACCGGAGCACCCAAAGGAAACCCACACAGACAGTTGTCTGAGGGTGGAATCAAACCCGGATCCCTGGCGCTGTGAGGCAGCAGTGCGAACCACTGTGCCACCGTGCCGCCCTAAATATATGGGAGCACCTCCACCTGCAAGTTCCCCTTCAAACCAGACACCATCCTGACTTGGAAATACATTACTGTTTCTCTAGTGCCACTGAGTCAAAACCCGAACTCCCTTCCCAAACGTATTGTGGATACACCTTCACCAAATGGATTGCAATGGTTCCAGAAGGCGGCTCACCGCCAATACCACCTTGAGGGCAACTAGGGATGGTCAATAAATGCAGGCTCAGGCAATGTCACCCACATCCCATGTGTGAATGGAAATAAAATTGTTGAGACTATTATCTAAACTCTGATATGTCCCATTATTTGATTTCAGCCGGTTTCATTGTTTCAGATGTTTTAGTTTCTGATCTCAGTTTCAGTCCCTGGAAACTGGAAAGTTCTCTTTTCCGTTTCCCCTTTTTTGTTTTCCTTTTCTGTAGGGTCCACCTCCAAAAGATACAAGCTGTGAAACATGGATTACATTAGCTAAGGTCATTCCTCAGTATTTAAAGACAATGAGGTACATTTCGTTCACCTGATCATTATCTTGAACGATGTGGTGTAAGCCTAATGTGTCCAACAAGTCTCGTATCATCATGCTTTATGACCGTCTATAATAGCAGCTGCGTTTTTTTCAGCAAAACTCTGATTTGTCCACGCGATCTTTCCTTCATAAAACCAAAATGTTTTTGATTGTTACCTGCTTCTTGTGATTGTTAATTTCCACCCTTTGTACAATTTCATTAAGTTTGACTTGGTTTGTCGATCAAAATTAATTGCTTTAGAAGTTTAGAGTTTACTAGTATTACTTTCTTAAATGTGTCTAGAATAATTGTTATCTTCATGCCCTGCGGGTTGAGGGAGGTGGCAGTATTCCATTTGCAAAGATTTTTGAAAACTATGGTTTGTGTCTGCTGAGACTTCAGCAGTGTTTTGAAATGCATATCATACTAGACCTTCTGGCTTTTGTGCTTGAAAATTTCACAAACTTTAACTATGAATTGCTTTACAATATTTATCTTTAGTTGTAGTTATTCAGTATCTTCCCTATGGAAATTTCTGAGACTTTCTATGTTTAAAGTTCACCAGATGATCTGGCATATGTTACTGTGGTAAATTATGAACATAATGTCAGTTTCTACCTTCAAAATGCTTCCTACAACATGACCTCAATGTTAGGTTCTTCTTAGAGACATAGAAGTCTACAGCACAAAACAAGTCTCTTCAACCCATTTTTGTATACACTGTTATTTTACCTACAGTCACCAAACGATATTTTTAGTTGAAGTTAATGTTTGTCTTCTCTTTTCTTTCCTTTTTATTTTATGTTAAGATGGATTTTCCCCTTTTCCAGGTACACTCTTAGAAAAAAAAGTGGAGATGGACAAACGTGGAATGGGAATGTCAGATTACAATGGAATAGTTTCTAAACCACTTGGCTGCCGACCACCTACTATCCCCAAAGAGTCTTCCATGGATCGGCCCACCTTTTTTGACAAGGTTTGTTACGAATAAATGACAGAAAATAAACCAAAAATAGTTATGTCCTGATGTCAAGTTCCTTAGACTAATGAACAAAACTGCTTTGTTTTTAAAAAAAATCACCAGCTGTCTGGGTTATGATAAAATATTCATGCATTGTTTTGTACTCTGAGCAGAAAACTAAACTGGAAAATCCTTGCACCTCACAGCAGTTCAAGCAACTCTGAGACCTAACAGGGTGGTCTGCAGGAACGAAAAATTCCCTTTTGAAAGTAAAGATGTAAAGTTTTAATTTGGAATTCTATTTTCAAGTAATGTAATCAAGCAAAGTGGGCAGAATCCAATTACCCTATTTGGTTTTGTACTTTCGTAAACGTTCTGTACTGACATCAAGATGGTGTGAAATGAGACTCTTTTTTTAAAGTAGTACTTTTTAAAGTATGGTCAATAGAATGTGTTTAACCATGTACAGCACATATTATTTCTATTAGTGAAGAGAACTAACATATTTCGGCTCCAGTTTTAAAAACCTGGATTTCTCACTTCATTGGTTTGTGAACTGACCAAGATGTTTTTATGGCAGTGTTTCACATTGTTGCTACAGGAAGTCAAATGTATTATTAACCTGTTTTGAGAGGAGCTGTATTTTGCCATGTTAGAACCACTTGCCACAGTTAAAATATTTATTTGCAAGTGACTCCAGTAGACTCGAATGTTTTGTAATAGAGATTGTTCATGTTTCCAGGATTCACAAAATACTTTAGGTTTGGCAAAGCTAGGGTTATAAAATTGACTCATTTTTACTGCGGTTTAGTGCCTTCAGCTCTGGATACAGAAAAATGGGAAGACAAATGATTGTATGGTGATCAGATTACAGTTTGACTGTGATATTATTTAGAAGTTAAACACAATATGAACCTGTTTCTGTAATGTTTCAAAGAGACGTCCCTTGAAAAAATGATTGTTTTCAAGAATCTGAAGCATGCAGGGATATCAGTAAAAATCTCTCATTTTTACTTCTTAGTATATTTTTGGGGAAGGTTTCTTTGTTATGCATTCGTAGAAAGTATGGGTCACTGGATTGACCAGCATTTATTGTCCATCTCTAATTGCCTGGGCAAAGAAGATGGTTAGCTATCTTCTTGAACCACTGCTGTTCTTGGGTTTAGGTGTACCCTCAGTGCTATTGGGAAGGAACTTCCAGGATTTTGGCCACCCAACAGTCAAGGACCAGTGAAATAGTTCCAAGTGAGGATGGTATGTCACTTGGAAGAGAGCATGGTCATGGTGTTCCATTGCATCTGCTGCGTTTACCTTTCCAAATAGTAAAAGATCCAGGTTTGAAAGATGCTGTGAAAGGAGCCTGGGTGACTTGCTGCAGTGCATCTTGTAGATGATGCACATTGCTGTCACTGTATGTCTGTGGTGAAAGGAGTGAATGTTGCTGATGATGGATAGGATGCCAATCAAGTGGGCTGCTCTGTCTTGGATAATGCCAAATGTATTAAATGTTGTTGACACTACACCCATCCAGACAAATGAAGAGTATTCTATCACACTCTCTGGATCGTCTGTTATTTGTTTGTTAATGAACCATGCAACTTTTATACATTAAGCCCTTAGTAGTCATGGTCTATTTGTCACATTTCCTCACTAAAAGATTTTAATTAAGTTTGCTTGGTTGCACAAATGACCTTTTTAGTTCCTCTGATTTTTGACATTTAATATACCAACCTTGGCTCTAATGCAGTAACATGTGGATATGTAACATATGTGCTATTACCCTTAATTGCTTCCTACATTAATGAACATTTGATCCCTTGTCTACTACTGTTTATTTTTTCACTTTTACTTTAAAATGCTGGCGATCTTTTCTACGTTGAAAGTTTTCTGTTGTTAATGTTAATTGCAAAACATGATCTTTAACACATTTGGTTGTTTTGGTAATAGTTTGTTAGACATTTATTAGATTTTATGTAAAAGTGTAACTGTGTTCATTAACTTGTCAGAAAAATATCTTTGTACCTACATTTAACATCGACCAGTGAATTGTTACAGTCCTGCATCAAAAGAAATTTCCTATGATACATACTTGGTTTCTATTTAAATGGAGGTGAGGTATTATATAATCAAAAGTTTTGAAAGTAGAGCCAAATTATGACATGCCGCAAGCCTCAAATATTGACACGTGCACTTGTTAGTTTCAGCGTAAGGCAAATGTTATGAAATAGAGGTTGTGAATTTCCTGTCACTGTTTTTTTGTGCCTGCAGCGTGTTCGTTTAATATTGCAGCAATTGCTGCTTTTGATCTTTGCACATACATCTTTAGCATACAAAAGGTTTTTTAGTCATGCACTTTAACTCTGTTTTTTTTTTTTTTGTTTCCTTCTCTCTATCTCCTTCTTTCTGTCTATCTTCCCAACCCACCATCATTTTGTCTTTGGAACACACACTTCCATCATCCTTTTTAATCCAATTTTTATTTAAACCAATGGAATTCCTCTTATGTGCTTGTTGTGACATCCATTGCACTTCCCTGATAATAATGCTGTGCCTTGGTTGGCACTGCACAGCTCACCCTATCCTTCTCTAATCAGGATGGCGGCCTAGTGGAAGAGTCCCCTACTTCACCATTTTTGCCTTCACCAAGCCTGAAGCTTGCCCTTTCAAACAGTGCACACCCTAATCAGGCCCTTGGTGCCATTGCCTCGGGGCTGGGCATGCAAAACTTGAATTCTTCTAGACAGGTAAGGCTGGCCATTCATGAATTATTGCTTTAACCCACTCAGTATTAAAACAGCAAGCTTCTTGAACTTAGAGAAAGCAGAAATATTTTGTTCTGAGCAGATATCAAGAAATCTACCTGCCATTTTGTGGTGATTACATGTGCTTTTATTCTGACTGAAAAGCATAATTGGTTTAATTTTGCATTAAACTTGTAATTTGTAAATCTTAAAGATGCATTTCATCCCCCATGCTCCCTTCCAAATATGACACACCTTGACCAACTCAAACTGAAACGAGCACCTTTCCCAATTTCCTCCTGCTGTCTCATTGAATTATTTTGTTTGTAGATTAACAAAATCATGCTTACAATCTTATACTTGGCAAATAGCTCCAAAACAAGCTGGAGGAAGTAAATATGTATATAAAATTAGTTTGGATATTTGGCAAATACATGTCAGGAATCCCTTTTTTCAATTTGTTCTATTTAAAGAATGAATATGTTCTTGCGCACTACTTCAGGTCAAATTAGTAAATTTATTGATGCTGTTTAGTATGCACATGTCATTAGTCTTGAGAATTTGCTATTCAAATTTCCTTTGGTGTTTCATCAAAATGTTTCAGTTCATTTGTTCATAAATTTAAAAAGAATCTTCATGTGAATGTGAACTTCATGCAGTTTTTGTTTTGAAGCATTAGCTGTTTTAAAATTAAATAACAGTAAAGTTTGAGGGAATTGAGTGTTTACAATTTTGCTCATTATTTCTCTTGTTTTGCTGAACTTGTGTTTTTTGATCATGTAGAGAAGACGACTAAATTACTCTTCCAATATAAAAGCCATCATAATTACAATCTTGCAAAAATCTGTGCTAATTTTAAAGGATCTGTTCCTTCAAAATGTTTGAGACTTTTCTAGTTTAAGGCTTTCTAATATTTCCAAAATTTGAATTTGTATTTGAGGTTGTGGAGCTGTGTAAAGCCCTTTATTATTTGAATTATACATATAACTGCATTTACCCTACATCATATTTTATTGTTCAAAATAATGTAAGAAGCTCAGTTGCAATTGCTGCCTTTGGGGACAGAATCCTTATGGATGCTAAGGCTGAAATAGATAAATTCTCGATCAGTCAGAGAATCAAGAGTTATGGGGAAAATGCAAGAAAGTGGATATGAGAAATGTTGGATCAGCCATAATCCTGTTGAATGGCAGAGCAGGCTTGAGGGCCTAAACGGCCTACTTCTATTCCTATTTCTTATGGTCTTGTAATCTTGACTCCCATTTTTGTGCTTTTATAACCTGCAAGGCCAGTAAATTTTTTTGCCAATGAGTATTGAAATAATTCCAGAGGCCAGTATCCTGTCACCAAGTCACCCTTCCTTTACACATGGAGAGTCCATGATCGGAGGTGGTGGAAGTAGACACAGTAGCAGCTTTCAAGAAGCACTTGAACGAATATGTGAATAGGAAAGGAATAGAGGGATACGGATCCTGTAAGTGAAGGCAGTTTTAGTATGGAAGGGCAAAATGTGTTGGCGCAGGCTTGGAGAGCTGTCCCTGTGTTGTATTGTTCTTTGTTCTTTGATACTGATCCAACTCCCTCAGAGCCATCTCTGAGTGAACAGGATGTCTGACAGTCCTCTTCTTATCTGTCAGTCAAGGCCTCGAGATTGGACCAGCCCCAATCAGGGAACTCATTTTATGATGTCAACCTTGCTGACTTTGCTACAATTACTACATCCCTTCCCCAATGAGTCCAAGGATGTAGGCTGGTTCTTTTATTTCGTAGCTCTTCCTGGCGAGTTTTAGCACCAAGTCATGTTCCTCCAACTCTGTCTCTTAGATGGGCAGTATGTAACGCACAGTAGCTCATCTCTTGCATCTGGAGCATCTCGGAAGAAATTCATTCTCCTCTTTGGGTGGTAGAAGTGGCAACATCCACTTTGTCCATCTCAGATTCTGAGATATTGTCAACTCTTGATGAAGAGGGAGGACCTATGGGTTCTGGAACAATTGGAAAGGTTGTCAAGGAGCCAGGTACATTTTTGCTCCTGCACCCTTTGCGAGTTTGCAATTTCATAGGGCCCACATGCTTGTTCAGAATGTCACACCTCCCCAAATCGTATACGTCACTGGACCTGACCTCCTGTCACACCCCACCCTGCATCAGGTCCAGGAAGATCAGGTTTAACCTGGTGTGGAGTATTCTTCCCTTTAGCAATGCTGCTGAAACTATCCCTGTAGTTGCATGAGGGGTGGACCTATAATCAAATGGGAACCAGGACAGTTTGGTGTGTACTGGAGCTGTAGGCTGTTTCTTTAAGCCTGCCTTCAAAGTTTGGACTTCTCTTTCTGCCAGACCTTCAGAAGATGGAAAGTATGGAACTGTTCTTATATGTTGAATGCCATTTGACTTTTAGAAATACTCACTCAAATTCTATGCTGGCAAATGATGGCCCATTATCTGTGACCAACACTTTTGGGGAAAATCCATCTTTCACAAAAGATGCGAGCGTTTTTTCAGTTGTTGTCCCTGTGTTTGATGAATGCCGACCCAACCACTTTGAATGGGCATCCGCAATGACTAAGAACATTGAGCCCATGAAAGGACCGATTATAGGCAATGTGTAACCGAGTCCAGGGTTTACCCAGCCATTCCCGCAAATGTGGAGAATCTGCTGGCAGTAGTTTTTGTCCTTGTGGGCACTGTCCCACCGATGTGGCCATGTTTGCATCCAGTCCTGGCCACCAGACATCACTTCTTGCCAACATCTTCATTTTGGAAACTCCTGGATGACCCTGATGGAGTTCAGCCTCTAGAGGTAACCTTTGCTCAGGACAATCACTCTTGCTACCCATAATAATATGCGGTCGACTGTGATCTTGTTTCTCCAGGTCCAAAAAGGTTTCAGTTCTGGTTGTGACTGCCCTTTTGTTTCCCCCATTGCCATCAGCTTTTGAATTTTTCCAGGATCAAATCTTTCTGCATCCAAAGTGTAATATTGTCAGCTGTGACTGGAAGGGTGTCCAAAAAGTTTAAAACCATTATAGACTGTTCCAGTGGCGGTACCACTGGTGGTGTATCTGCAGCTCAATGCATCCATGTTTGCTACTTGGCTTTCCAGACAGTGTTCCAACTTGTACTTCAACGCACTTAGTATTAGAACCCACTGCCAAACTTGGCCTCAAGGGTGGCACTGCCTTGTCCTCTTCAAGTAGACATAATGGGTTTGTGGTCCATTGTTATTACAAATTTACATCGGTAAAGGTATTGGTGGAACTTCCTGACTCCAAATATGACCACCAAACCTTCCTTCTCGGTCTGGGTGTATTTACGCTTTTACATTAGCCAAAGTCCTGGATGTGCTATTGGGCATTCCTCTCTATTGGGTCACCTGAGGTAATAGTACTCTGATGCTGTACAGGGAGGTATCGCGTGGGGTGGCACAGTGGTTAGCACTGCAGCCTCACGGTGCCAGGGATCCGGGTTCGATTCCACCCTTGGGCGACTCTGTGTGGAGTTTGCACATTCTCCCCGTGTCTGCGTGGGTTTCTTCCGGGTGCTCCGGTTTCCTCCCACAGGCCAAAGATGTGCAGGTTAGGTGGATTGGCCATGCTAAATTGCCCATAGTGTTCAGGGGTGTGTGGGTTATAGGGGGATGGGTCTGGGTGGGATGCTCCAAGGGTCGGTGTGGACTTGTTGGGCTGAAGGGCCTGTTTCCACACTGTAGGGATTCTGTGATTCTATGATTGTGATCTCATTTGGGATCATGGCGTGCTAACACCTTGGAGGATGGTGGCTGTTTCTACACTTCCCTGAAGTCTGTGGCTTGGCTACGCAACAATTTCCAAGCTGGTCTTTTCAAAAGTTGAAGCAAAGATGCCAGAATGGAGGCCAGCTTATGTATGAACTATCTGTAATAATTTACCAGCCCACGGAAAGACCTAAGTTCCGGGCACCTTTGATCGCTCTCACTTTATTTTCCAGCGGGTGTAACCCAGTCTTGTTGACTCTGTAGCCCAGTTAGGTCACTTGGGGCTCCTGGAACACACGTTTTTCCCTTCTACAGGCATACACCTGCCTGGAAGGAACATCTAAGAATGATGTCCAAGTTCTCGTTGTGCTCCTTATTGGTCTTGCCTGATATTAGCACATCATTTAAATAAATAGCAACCTGGGGTAGATCTTTGTAAAATGTTCTCTGTCGTCTGCTGAAAAATTGTACAGGCTGACAATATCCCAAATGGCAGTCTTGTATGTTGGTACAAGGTCTTAATGTATTAATTGTAGCATACTTCTGGGAATCTTCATCTAACCACAATTGCAAGTACGAATAGCTCATGTCCAGTTTCATGAAGGACAGCACCACCCCCAGCTGCCAGCTTTGCATATATATCCTCTATGCGAGGGACTGGATATTTATCCAGCTGCAAAAAGCAGGTTGCCATCAGTGTAAAACCCCTACAAAGGCAAACTGACTCGTCAGGCTTCACAATTGGTACAACCGGTGCTGCCTACTCCACAAACTTCACAAACTTCCATCGCTTCCCAGCAATCTGATTTCTGCCTCTACTTTTGCCTGTAAGGCAAATGGCACTTGGTGGGCCATGCAGAATTGTGGGATTGCTTCCTGGTCAACACGCAAGGTGGCCTTGTCTCTTTTGATGGTCCCTAGACCTTCCTGAAAAAACGTCTGGATTTTCAATTAGGACTTCATTCAAGCAGCCATTTTCTAATTGAAAATGTTGAACCAATCTAGGTGAATCTTTCTCGACCAATTTCACCCCATCAAGCTTGGGCCCGATGCTTTTACTACAGTCAGTGCTAACTGAACCAGCTGCTTCTCATAATAGACTGGAACCAAAGTTGTAGCCTTAACCTGTAAACGTTCCCCAATGTCGGTTCTCAGTCTAGCTGAGGTCTTGTGCAAACCTAAGGATTGGAGTCCAGAGTGAATTTTGTTAAAGACTAGTTCTGCAATCACTAACAGTCATGCCAGTATCAACCTCCATTAGAACTAGGTGACCATTTAATCAGCCGTTTATTTTAATTTGGTTTTGATTTGGATGTTGCTAAACAATTTAACTGTTCCAAACCAGATGCAGGTGGACTTGCCAGGGTGAATTCTGTTGCTGTCTGGAGTGCGCATACCAGCAGCAACTACAATGGCTTGTCTTCCCTGTGCAGAAGAAAATTTTAATCGTTTGGCCGAAAATTGGCTTTGTTTTGGGGTTTTGCTATGGGATGACCTAGAGTCCATCTGTTCAGGATATGGTCTGAGTGAGGCTATATAATTGACTTCACTCAAGTGGTGCTCCCCAAACCCAGTCAGACTGGTAAGGGTATCCACTTCCATCAAAATATCCTGCAGCTCATGTGCTTCACTTGCCGCATTTTCCAATAGTAAAGCCAATTGTAGTGAATGTTTGAAGTCCAGTTGGGTTTCAGTTAGGTGCTTCTGTATGGTTATATCATTTGTCCCACACACCAGTGTCTCAACATCTCATTAAGGATTAAACCAAAGTCACGTGCCTCTGCCAATCGTGTTAATCTAGTCAAAAATCCCAATACAGATTTCCCTGGTTCTCAAATTGCTGAGTAAAATTGATAGTGTCTCAGAATTAGAGGAGGCTTGGGGTTGTAATATTTCTCAACTAAATCTGTAAACTCTTGAAAAGTTTTACTATCTGGTGCCTGAGGGAAAGTTAGGTTCCTAATAACCAAACAAAGCTGCGGGTCCACAAGCTCAAGGACAATTACTCCTTGCTTTTCATCTGCCCCAGTGTCATTTGCCTGGAAAAAATATGCATTTTTTCCACGTACTGGGCGTAGTCTTTGACAGCAGGATTGAACAAGTCAAGCTTCCCAAGTAATGGTATGATGCCAGAAATGCTTACCCCAACTTAAAGGCAACTGTTGCGAGTGAATTTCTTCAAGACTGTGCTTTTCTGTTGTCAGCACTGAAATAACTGTACAGAGGCCAGTGTCCTGTCAGCAAGTCAGTCTTTATTTACCTGTGCAAAGTCCTTGACCTTGACGGCTCTGAGTGAACAGGATGTCTGACACTCCTGTTCTTATCTGTCAGGTGGGTTCTGTGATTTTCATGGGATGCTGGTTCAGGCAGAAAGGTGGAGTTGAGGAAAATGATAACCATGACATTTTTGAATGGTGGAACAGCTCCCTCAGGTCAATTGGCCAACACCAGCTTCTTTTTACTTGTGTTCCTGCATTTGCAATGGTTCGCATTTGTTCAGATTAACTGGAGTTGAATGTTTGCATAATTCTGGCTGACTGCTGATTTGAAGCCAATTCTGGTAAAAATTATCCCATCCAAACTGCATTATCTCAAAATGTCAACGTGGTTGACATTCTCAACCAACTTAACCATCGTAATTGAAGATAATTTATCTTCTGCGATACTTGTTTCATATGGTGTGTGCTGGTAATGGTTTACAAGAAAGCACAGCCGTTATTCTTGCATGAATTGAGACCCCTTGAAGGAATGAACTTGTGCTGTTTTGCTAGGCATCACCTATACTATAACCACACCCAATGCATGTAAACTTTTATTTAAACTTTGTTTTGAAACATACTTGCTTTCCATATAAAATTTCTGTTGAGAAGATCTCAATGTCTTTCTGAGATCTTTTCCACCTCTTTATTTTAAAAAAAAGTTACAATTGAGAAAAGTAAAGTTTCAATTTTCATTTTTGATCAAAAGTGGAGTTTGACATTTAATTCCTACCTTAATTCAGCGTGCTAAGTGTTGGACATGTTTCCCTCAAGGTCATCCATCTGACTTTTTAAATTTATATATTTTTTAAAAGGTTAAGAAATACAGGTTGCTAGTTTTTTTTACATTTCTTGTGTACCTATTTGCTGCTTGTGGTATTGAATTAAATACGTTAATTTAAACGATTCTCGTTGGTTGCAATTTGTGAATTGGACTATACTTTTTGAAGCTACAAAATGAATGGCATTTGTTTTTTGCAGTCTCCTTTGTTTTCCCTTGGTAATCTTCCTCCAAAATGCTATTGAAAACCTTCAGATACGTCCGTATTGGAGCCAAGATGTACAGTTGTTTCCAGTTTGGGTTTGTCTGATACTCTGTCATTTTTCTTTTCTGTAATTGCAGAGTGGCAATCTAGGTATGTTTGGCAATAGTGGAGCAGCACAAGCCAGGACCATGCAGCAGCAACCGCAGCCGCCAGTGCAACCTCTTAACTCATCCCAGCCTAGTCTTCGTGCTCAAGTGCCTCAGTTTCTATCCCCTCAGGTACATAAAATTGCTCGTCATGAGCAGCCAGCTAATGTGTTCAATTCATATCTACCAAATTTCCTGAATTCTTTAGGACCTTTGTCATGCTACTTCTTTTAGGCCAAGGGAAAATGATATATAGGGTACTATGTACCTCAATTTTGTACCTCCCAATACCAGTGTACGACTCATTCTAGTTGATGTTTTATTTCTCGTAGTGAATGTATGAGTCTGGCTGTGAAGCATATCAATTGGCTCACAATTGAAGTCTCTGCAATAAAATTTGAATATGATACCTTTCTGTCAAATTGATTAAATTGGCATGTTTGGATTGAGATAAGGATTTGATATATGATGTGTAGCATTTTTCCTCATGATATTTGTAACAAGATTTTAAAAACTATGCAAACAGTTTTTAAAAAGTGCAGAAATTGAAACAGCTAAGGAATCAGCAACTTTCAGGAAAGGCTTTTTTAAAAGTACAAAATGTTGGTTTGGTGATTTTTAAATGCTTAAGTATTTTTCTGTATTCATTAAAGGTTCAAGCACAGCTCTTGCAGTTTGCAGCAAAAAACATGGGTCTCAACCCTGCACTATTAGCCTCGCCAATTAATCCTCAGCATATGACTATGTTAAACCAACTCTATCAGCTGCAGCTGGTAAGTAATGTTGCTGTCATCATTTATGCGGATTGGAATCATTAAGACAGTGATAACTTAGAACAGGATCCATACAGTGTGGAAACAGGCCATTCAGCACAACAAGTCCACACCAATCCTCCAAAGAACATCCCACCCAGATTCATTTCATCTCCCCCCACCCCCCGGTTTCATTCCCCCCCCCCCACCCTTTCCCTATAACCCTACGTTTCCCATGGCTAACGCACTAACCGACAAAGCCCTAGCACTGTGGACAATTTAGCATGGCCAATCCACCTAACTTGCACATCTTTGGACTGTGGTGGAAACCAGAGCATCCAGCAGAAACCCATGCAGATACTAGGAGAACACACAAACTGCGTACAGTCAGTCGCCTGAGGGTGGAATTGAACCTGGGTCCCTGGTGCTGTGAGGCAGCAGTGCTAACCACGGAGCTACCCCTAGCTTACTGCACCTGGTATGCACACGCAGTCTCCCGTCCAAGTACTAACCAAGCCTGAGTCTGCTTAGCTTCTGAATTCAGATGAGATTGGGTGGTTTTCAGACTAGTATGGCTGTAGGAAAATTTAAAGGTAATCAAAATTCATTGAAACAACAATCATATATTTTAATATTTGGATTCTGCAGGATCAATTCAGCTTTCAAAATATGGATATATTGACCATGAAGCTGCTGTACCAATTGATTCTGTGGATCACTTTGTATTCTATTCCATAGTTTCCATACCTATCATGCTGTCCTTTAGCCCAAAAAGTGAAAAGCTTCTGAACTCCATACATTCCCATAGCCTGTGTCAATATAATTTCCGTTGGCAAAAATGACGTACATTTTAATTGTTGCCTTAAATTATTTGACGTTTTTCCCCTAACTTTTTCCTTTTTTTCTGAGATGGAGCACTCTCCCAATTTTGAAACAATTGAAGTAGGGTGAGCAAGAGAATCAAATTGTTGTCTAAGGTAATGTCTCTGACGAGGTTAATGCTAGTGTTGCATTAGCTCCGCCCATAGTACAGATGTCTCTCATACCCTATGGTTAGGGACAAGATATTCCAGTCCAACTTTGAGAGGGAGTAGATATACCTGTACCCTAAGATCCTGACAATAATAGACCTGCCATTCGTCCAAGCTGTCAGAGAATCCATTCTGAGAAAAGTGAGACATCAAAACCACTTGTATTTGTGAAGTCAGCGTTGGGTTGGTGGAGAGATGGGTTCAAGGTAAAATATAATATAGTTATACTTATGATTGTGTTTCAAGTTGGGGAGAAAAGCTTTTAGGGAGGTGCATAATGTAAGGTATTTGTTCTGAAGGGTTTATCATTCCAATGATGTCATTAATCGACTGGGGGTGAAGACAAGGAGTTCTACTCTAGCTTTTGGAATGAGCAGATATCTCTGAACCAGCTGTCTAACGTCCTGGTAGTTTGGTCTGAACAAATGTAATTCCGCTTTTGCTTTCATGCAATAAATGGTCAAATTATTCAACATCAGTGCCTCTTCTCTATACGCTGTACAGAGGTGTATCCTATTCCCATTGATCACCAGTTAGGCCCAAGACAAACGAGGATTGGTGACTGAAAACTACCTCAACTAACCCTTCCCCAGTACCACATACTAGTAGAAGTGTCAGCGCAGTGTGAAAGGAGTAATCATCTCGGAAAATACCACACTAATATTCAACTAGTAGTAGCTGAATCCTTGTTATTTATTAGACATTAATATGGCAGTGTTAAGAGTGCATTTTAGAAACAAATCATGCTGTTCTTAAAGTAAATAAGTTAGTACAGAAATTGTGTCGTTCCTTGGGGAAAATTGGTGTGAAGAAATGGGCTTAATGTTAATTCAATCAGCTAATTCCAAATAAATTGGAGTTTGACTTTAGTGAATCATACATGCAGTGGGAATTCGGGAAAGAAAACTAAATCTGCAGTTTCCATCGGAAATAACAAACTATATCAAGCTGAAAGGGTTGGTTGCACTTTTACCAGATGAACCTGGAACATTTGTATCATATTTTTGAAATACTTCCAGAAATTCATTGGCCTCTTTCATTTGAGGTTTTATTCACATTCATTTTGCATTTTGCACTTGCAGGCTTACCAGCGTTTACTGTTCCAGCAGCAGATGTTACAGGCCCAACGTAATGTTTCTGGAACCATTCGACAACAAGAGCAGCAAGTAGGTATAGCAAACTTGCAGCCCAACTTCAAGACATTTTGCAGTCAGATGACAATAGTGCATGGAAGAGGTTTTTCTGGTATAAACCTCTACGAATAGAGATGTGCACATGATTGATTTATCTAACTAATGATTTTTCAAATCACTGAATTATCTTTGTTAACATCATGTTTGTCCCCTCTTATAAATTTGAGAATATAGTAATCAGCCTGCTCCTCTTCACTGTTTTGGTATTTCAACAGAGATCACTCTCAGTAACTAGCTAATGATGTAGTACTGTTGACAAGGAATAATAGAACTTCTGTCTTTGTATTATCCCCTTGGTTCAAAACAGTTCAGTGCATCTTTTATACATATTGGTGAAGTTACATAGAAAGGACAGTGTTTAAAAATAAGTCCGCACCTAAATTTTATTCCTTCATTTTGCACCCTGAAGAAAACACATTTAGAAATTAGAGATAGTAAGAACTGCCGATGCTAGAGTCAGAGATAACACAGTATGGAACTGGAGGAGCACAGCAGGCCAGGCAGCATCAGAGGAGTAGGAAAGTGACATTTCGGGTTGGGGCCCTTCTTGAGGCCTCAACCCGAAACATCAACTTTCCTACTCCTCTGCTGCCTGGCTTGCTGTGTTCCTCCAGCACCACGTGTAGAAACTAGTTTTATCAAAAAACAATACACTTAACCTGTAAGAAATACAATATCAAAATACAAAGTTGCGCGCAGGATTCTATTACATAGCAAATGAATTGAATTACAAATGAAAGGTTTTAGATTTTTATACATATCATTGGTGTAAAAGTGAACTTGCAAATCCTTGGAAAGCATAGAATCCATTTTTGCTAATTTGTGAATTGATTGCAATATAGTATTGCTTTTCAACGAAACAAAAGCTACTTCATGTCCCATGGATTGCCAAGTTTTTCATATGGATATACTAATGCTGATTTTGCTGAAATAATCATGAAGGGGTTAATTTTACTATTTTTTTTCTTTTGTCGAATGTTGTAAGCACAGCAAATAAGATATTCAGCCAGTCATCTCGTGTCGGCAGCAAGTCCAAGTAAGAGTGCTGACAGAGATGAAAACTGCAATTAGCAAAGAACCCTTGCTGTATTAACCAAATCACTCTTTTCAGTAACATGTCTTATAACTAGTGGAAAGTTTTTCTTGCAGCATAGCTTTTACACTTTAGTTTTGTTTCGATAAAACCTACTCTAGAAGTATCTCAAATACTCCATACTTGTGTTTAGTTCATTTCTACATCAGATGTTACAGAAATGTTATAATTGCATTTAAGTGTTTTGGCCCACTTGTTGATTTTTGAAATAAAATAGCATTTGTTATTTGTTTATCTATTGATTTCTTTTCTATACAAGTTTTTATCTGAAACATTTTGGTCTGTTTTCCCACCTGATCACAAATTGTTCACCCATTGTTAAAAGACTATTTATATATAAGGTCAACAGTTCAGTGGCATCAATTTTACAGATCCGCACTTGCATATTTCAAGACGGGCCGGGTTTGCAGAAGTTGAGGTTGGGGGCGAAGCAGGAGGCTCTCAACATAAAACCGGTGGCCAACCCACTACTCTGTCACCCACCTTCGATCTGTCTCCGATATTGGAGTGGCTGGGCAATATGTCAATCAGCTTGGCTGACCTTGGGCCTGTTGGCACTCTTAAAGCCAATTAATGACCATTTAAGTGCCTCATTCTGACTCCTCCACAATCTTAAGTGTGCCGGGGGAAGCAGAAGCAAGGTAAACAAATTGGCAATATTTCTTTGGCAAGCAGCTATCAAGCTGAAATTGTTGGGTTGCTGCCTTTTGAGGAGACGGTGGCACAGTGGCTCAGTGGTTAGCACTGCTGCCTCACAGCGCCCGGGACTCAGGTTCGATTCCACCCTTGGGCGACTGTCTGTGTGGAGTTTGCATGTTTTCCACGTGTCTGAATTGGTTTCCTCCCGGGTGCTCCGGTTTCCTCCCAAAGTCCAAAGATGTGCAGGGTAGGTGGATTGGCCATGCTAAATTGCCCATAGTGTTCAGGGATGTGTAGATTAGGTGGGTTGTAGGGGGATGGGTCTGGGTGGGATGCTCTGAGGGTCGGTGTGGACTTGTTGGGCCGAAGGGCCTGTTTCCACTCTGTGGGAATTCTAAGAAAAAAAAAATTCGATGAATATGAGACCCCTGTGTCTGTGGGGAGTTAACATTCTTACGGTTGTAAGCCTTTTTATCCCTCCAACACCCTCTCTGCCAGACAGGCCTGACCTTAATCCCTGGCTTATATGTGATATCCATTGCTATTTTATTTACAGCGCATTTCACTTTGAAATAGGATTTCTGGTCAGCGTGGTGCTGACAGAGTTTCGTTTTGGGCTGTGGGCATTGGTTAGTTTGTTTTCATCCCAGTGTTATTGAAACTAAAAATTTATGGGTTCTTCGTATCGGAAAGGCAAATGATCTATCCTGAGCTTTCTCTGAACCACTTTTAAAGCAACGATGAGAAATGATAACGAAGTACCAAAATCTCATTATAGCTTTACATAACATAATGGCTTTGCCTCTGAGAAATTAGGATGGAGTGACTTATCCTCCAAATACTTTTACAATGCTACATGTATAGATAAGGTTATGTGATTAAAGTATGCAACTGCAATAGATTCTATATTATAGAATCATCTGGCTGGATTATACACTAGATAGACTCCATACACGAGTGTGCATTTCAGGGGCAAATCTGTCTCCGCATGGCTGAGTGAGAGTAATTAATATGAAGTGGGACTTCAGTCAGGCTCTGGGAGTGAGTCATGTCTCATGGAGCTGCTGGACAATTGGAAATCAGCAGCTCGATAGCTTACCAAGGTGGTCATCACAGCTGATGTTGCAGGAGGCCTGAGAGGATGTGAAATCGTGGATTCCCCCAAACTCTGGTAAGTTTGGGATCTCTCCCAGGATGGGTTGGCATACCCTGATGTGGTAGCATGTTGGAAAGAGGGTTTGTGGGAGGTCGGATGTTGGGTTGCAAGCCAGTGTGGGATGGCCTCTGATTGATACAGGGGTCTTGCCCTGAGCTGCTGCTTGCAGGGTTAAATCTGCCAGGCTTTCTGTTGGCTGCAGGTATCTCATCCGCTGTGCGATGACATGCCATTTTTCAACTGGGCATTAACTGCCCATCTGACAGCACTGATTGAGCTACAGAAGAGCAGCTCACCCAATCCTGCCTCCACCTACTGTTAAATCATGGCAGTTTGGGCAGATTTGCCACCAAGAGCAGTTTTTCTTAATTTATAATCTCATTTGCCAGTTCTCCTAGCCCTAGCTGTACCAGTGGGTGTGGTGTGTGTATTTCAGCCAAGATAGCTAAGTAGTGTGTGATCTACTTAGCACATTTCGTGTAGATGACAATTCAAAAGAATGTGCATGCTGTTACTACAGATGGCTATCCCATATTGGGTGTTGGTATTTTAGTTTTATTCTTAAAACTGAATAATGTGTTATAAGTAGATTGGAAGTGAATTCTGTCTTCTGGAAAAATAAACCTAGCATTCACAGTATTTCTGAAGACTTTTTTTGTTTCTTGCTAGGTTGCACGTACAATCAACAACATGCAGCAGCAGATCCAACAACACCAGCGGCAGCTGACCCAGGCCTTGCTTATGAAACAGCAACCTCCACATCCACCATTGCACCCATCTGCAGGCAAAGTAACCATTGATAATTTGAGTCATCACCCATCTCCCAGCCTTTCAGACCTGCAGACCAAAGAGCAGCAAACATCACCCAATTCTTTCCCTGCATATTCCTTGGGTAAGTACATTGCTAGAACAATAATTAGCATTTTAAAATTATTAAAGTTCTATTTTCTTTGAAAAGCACACAGCTGTGTAATGTCTTTGCTACTCTTGTATAAATACACTTCAATCAGCATTACATTTCGTAAAAGAAGACTATCTGTTGTGATCACCAATACAGGTTAATGAGTATGACCTTGTAACCATTACTGAAGCGTAGTTACGGGGAGATCAAAGGTATAATGTAAAGGTAAATATTCATGGGTATGTGATTGTTCAAAAGGACAGGCAGGAAGGAAAGGTGGTGATGTGGCTTTGTTGGTATGGGATAAAATAAGTACAATTGCAAGAAGTGATTTTGAGTTGAAGATGTGAATCCTTACATTTGGAGGTAAGAAACAAAAAGAGAAGGAAGACATTGGTAAAACTGATCCAGGCCCCCTAATAGCAGCTGTACAGTGGGACAAAAAATACATCAGGAAAATATGAAGGCATGTAACAAAAGCAATCATGGATGACGTTAATCTTTTGGATTGGGTTAGTCAGATTGGCAGAGGAAGCCGTGAGGAAGAATTCATAGAGTATATTTGCACAGTTTCCTAGAATAATACAAGACCAGAAGAAATAGGAACAGAAGTAGGCCATTTTGCCCCTTGAGCCTGGTCTGCCATTCAGTAGGATCATAATTGATCTGACATTCCTCACGTTCACCTTCCTGCCTTTTCCCCATAACATTAATTCCCCTACTGATCAAGAATCTAATTATCTCAGTTTTAAATACACATGAAGATTCTGTCCCACAGCGGGCTATGGCAAGGAGTTCCAAAGACCCTTGAGAAAAAATTCCTCCTCACCTCAGTCTTAAATTAACACCTTTTTATTCTGAGACTATGCTGTCCGGTCCTAGACTCTCCCATGCGTGAAAACATCCTCTCTGCATTTATCCTGTCAAGCCTCACCCCTCGTTGTTCTAAATTCCATTCAGTAGAATCCCAATTTTTTCAGTCTTTGCTCGTTAGACAATCCCTCCATACCAGAGATCATGCTAGTGAGCCTTCTCTGAATTGCCTCAAATGCAATTATACCTTTCCTTAACTAAGGGGATGAATACTACTCTCTGTACTCCAGGTTGGTCTCACCAGCACCTTGTACGTTTGTAGTAAGATTTCCCTATTCTTATACTCCAACCCCTTGAAATAAGGGCCAACATTCCGTTAGCCTTGGTGATTATCGACTGCACCTGAATGCTAGCTCCACTCGCGAGTGTACATTTCAGGGGTGAATCTGTCTCAGCACGGCTGAATGAGAGCCCTTTAATTAGTATGATGTGGAACTTCAGTCAGGCTCTGGGAATGAGTCCTGCCTCATGGAGCTGCTGGACAATTGGAGACAAGGTGTAGACAGGCAAAGAGACTTGCGTGCCTTTGTCAACAAGTCACTGAAGGCTAATGTACAAGTGCAGCAAGCTATTAGCAATGTTATTGGGAATGTTTGCCTTTATCACCAGAGAATTTGAGCATAGGACTAGTGAAGTCTTGTTTCAGTTGTGTAGGAGCTTAGTTAGACTATACCTGGAATACAACGTGCAGTCTTGGTCTTCTTTTCTCGGGAAAAATACTATTACCGTAAATGCAATGCAACAAAAATTCCCTAGATTTGTTCCTTGGATGGCAGGACTGTTCTTTGATGGGAGATTGGGCAAGTTAGGCCTGTATTCTCTAAATTGCAAAGAATGAGAGGTGATTTCATTGAAACCTATAAAATGTTTAAAGTGATAGACAGTGTGATATTTCCTCTGGTTGGGGAGGCGAGGACCAGAGGGCATAATTTCAAATAAAGATTTAAGATCAAGATGAGGGGAAATTTTTATTACTCACACGGTTGTATATGCTTGGAATTCTCCACATCCAAGGAGCTGTGGAGCTCAGTCTTTGAGTATTTAAAGCAGAGTTTGATAAATTTTTGCTTATCAGTAGCACAGCCATGATCATATTAAATGGCAGAGCAGGCTCAACAAGCTAAATGTCCCACTTCTGTTCCTGTGAACATAACTAACTTAGTGTTGATGGGACCTGGTTACCACACATGCTGACAATTAGAAACAAGTATGCTTTCCCTATACAACATTGGGATGTTTTAAAGGTGTGCAAGGCATTGTACAAATGAAAACACTTCCTTCCTGTTTCCATTGTTGATTTAAACCTTATGTCATTTTTCAACAGTTGTAAACTCCATTCTTCCTAATGCTGCTCAAATGATTTTGTTTTGGATGTTCAAGCTACCTGTCACTTGCTGCTACCAGCTAGTCATCATTATTGGCTTTTCTTAAACCTAGATCAGTGTTTTTTCAAAGGAAGGAAGTTTTTTTTTTTACTAAATGAGTTCTAAAGTTCAATTAATAATCTATTATGTATTTTACACAAAGAACATATCACAACATTTTGAAGACTTGCCTCTAACTTTCTCAGTTGATTGATCCAATGAAGCAAAGTCTGCATGGTCTATGAAGGGAACCATTTTCGTAGGCTAAATGATCCAAACTGCTTCTATACTTCACTTTATTATGCATTTTACTTACAGCTGGATTGATCCCGAATATGAATGTAAGCAACATGGAGCTAAGTGGTGGTTTATCCATGAAGGATTCAGCTCAAGCCCAATCTCGATTGAGGCAGTGGACCCACCCAAACTCTATGGAAAATTTAAGCAGCAATTCTTTACCACTGGACCAGAGCCAGAACAAGCATGGTAAGAGCCCTTAAGGGCAGAGTACTTGCAGGCCAAAATACTTCATTTGTCAGTTGGTTTTAAATTCTTGCACAGTCTCAATAAATTGTTGGAAAATGCAAGAATGTAACTCAATGACCATTACTGACTTCGCAAACTGAAAACAAATAGGCTCTGTTGCACTTTGCTTACCTTCTGTGTACACATTTAAAATGCTGAGAACATGCTATGTGATTCTTTTCTAAAAATGAATAAAACATTGGTTTTGGCAAACTGACTATTCAATATCAGCATCAACACAGCCAGCTCGTTTTCTTGTCTTGCACATCCAGCTAAAACAGAGGACAACTTGAAAACATGCAATGATGTATTTTAGCCCTTTGAGTACCGAATTTTCTCTGCAAATATCAGATTGGACAATAGACCACAGAACATTTCTTCATTTGTGATATTTTCAAAGTTAACTGTAATAGATTGTTTTACTTTTATTTTACCTACAAGACTTGTTTAGTGCTGAAGAAATTTAATACTGTAATAAAGGAAGCGATAGAACATCAAAGTCTCATTCTGAATTACATCAGCATTTAATAAAACTAACTGGGTCTAATTTAGCTACTGTTGAGATTCAGAGTCAGGTCCATAAAAAAATGTTTTTATATCCATGACCTTGCCTTTCTATCCCACTTGACGCATATTCAGGTGCTATCCCTGGAGGTCTCAATATTGGTCCAACAAGCAAGCCCTCCCTTGAGGACTCCTACAGTCCATATGATCTGATAACCAGCAGTGAGTCACCAGCCAGTCCACCGGTACCAGTCAGTGATAGCTGGACACGTGCCAAATCCCCTGCCGATAAGATCTCAAATGGCTCCAACATTAACTGGCCACCAGGTAAACCCCAAAGACTGGCAAAAAGAAAATAGGTGTTAAGAATGTTGTGTTTAACTGAGACCTGTATATTTATTACACATGAAGAGAAATTAGTAAATTGAAAACATATGCCAACTGTGTTAAACGAGATTTGCTAACTTAGTGCATATATCACTTAATAATGTAAGTGAAATATTTCATTCATTTGGACCCCTACAAAATCTTTAGAATTAATCTGTGCCATAGGAGCTTATAAATGCATACTGAGAATTTCTGGAGACAGTTGTGCTATATTAGAGGAGTTGGTTTAGTGATACCCTTACAGTTTGGTTCTGTTCTTAGCAGATCTAGCTTATGATCTCCCTTGGAATCGACTGCGTGCCATCACATCATTGCATAATCACACATCTTTTTTAAAAAAGAACCTCTACCTACTGATATGAATCCAGGCATTTGGGGCATATTTCCCAAGGAACAATTAGATCTAATATCCACAGCCAGGTTATACTTTCCACGCGCTTACTTGATGCTTCATTTTTCTCAGCAAGTTTACATGCTATTACACATGTTGAGGCATGGAAATTGTGACATTATAGTTGGAGGAAACTGAACCAAAATATACATAAGCATGGCCTGGAAAGCATATGTGGGTTTGGGTTATTTTACACACTAGCCTGGTAGATTTAGCATCAACTTTGGAATTTTTTTTCTTTGAGTAGAGTAATCATGTACATCATGTGCATCATGCTTTGCCTGGGATGGCATCATGGTTCAGTGGTCAGCACTGCCGCCGCACAACGCCAGGACCCGGGTTCAATTCCACTGTCGGGTGTCTGTCTGTGTGGAGTTTGCGCATTCTCCCGATGTCTGCATGGGTTTCTTAGCACGGTCCAAAGACACGCAGGTTAGGTGGATTGGCCATGCAAAATTGTCCATAATGTCCAGGGATGTGCAGGCTAGGTGGATTAGCTATGGCAAATATGGGGAAGGGTGGGATGCTGTTCAGAGGGTCTGTGTGGACTCTATGAGCCGAATGGCTTGCTTCCACACTGTAGGGATTCTATGAATGCCCCATCTTATTATTTCAAATCCAGTTTTGACCTAAGTGGTTTTCTTCTGATTAACTTTGTAGAAACAGTACTTTACATATAGCTTTTTCAGACTTAAGCATGGCATTTGCTACCTTATTGAATAACAAAGTTTTTCTTAACTGAGACAAAAAAAACATTTCCATGAAAAGCATTTAACAACTGCAAGGTTATAAACTTGATATTTGAAGTGTGATGTGGTACAATACTACCTAAGAATGGTTCTGTTGTGCACGTAAGGATTGTGTTGCTACTTCAAAGGGCCACTGTGGTTGAGAATCATTTTGAAATGCAAGTATTGTTTAGGTTAGTCCTCACTATAATAGTTAAAAGACTAATTTATTTTCAAAGCCGTCTGTTGAATGTACCTACAATTATTAGCATTGTTAATACTGTATTAGTTAAATATTGCTTCAAGGATGATCATATAAAGGGTCATTATAGGGTGCCAGCAATGGCATGCATGCTGTTAATTTGAAAGATGTTCTCAAGTTTGCATTTTTTTGATATGAGTAAATGTGAGAGCTTCATTGTGATTGTGCAGTATTTCAATTACATGCACAACTGGGTTTGGAGAACACATTATGGTCTTAAAGCTCAAGTTAATAATGTGTGGCTGTCCTTTTGTTTGGCAGTAAATATGATTGTTTTGCAACTTATTTCTTGATGAGACATTTCATTGCCAAATAGTATAACAATAAATATTGGTAATACATACCAGTAACTAAATTGAAAAGTTTGAAATGTTGATTTAAGTTTACACCAGGATCTCACACGCAAGCCATACAGATAGAACAGTACTTGTCAGAAACCTCGGGTCCATAATACCAGATAAATGGACCAACATCTGTAATCTCAAATGTTATTTAAGGCAATTGGTCAGGCCCTAAAATAAGAACTTTCATTTTAATCTCTTCTTCATTTTCAAATTTATGGGCAAATATTTTGGAAGGCTTTTTCAAATAAAATATTACCACTGACCTAATTTTCTTTGTGTATCTAGTCAGAATTACGTTATGTTGTATTTTAAAACAAAATTATTGTACTCATTCAGCTGAATAAATTTACTTAGTAATCACAGAATCAATTACTAGCCTTTGAGTTAGCTGATCTCCACTGAACTGACATTTGGCTTCAGTGCTTGAGAAATGGAGAATCTTGAGATGATTTTTATGCTGATCACTATCCAGCAATTTTTATTTTAATAGGCATTGGCAATGACAGAATCAGACTTGGCTCTGATGCCCTTTAGATTTGAATGATCTGTTAGGGTTTATATAAATAAGTTTTTTTTTTTATAGCTGAGGTACTGAAGGGCAACTGGCAGCTATGGGACTATATCCCAGCAAGGAGGCAATGCCCTCAAAAAAGGTGAGGGGAAAAAAATAGAGAAGTACACAATACTACATTGTGAAATCAATTTTATTAGTGTAGCATTTCATTTTTAAAACATTAGACAAAACCTATCAAAAATATATTAAAACTACTAGTTTGTGTGACTACTTAACCATTAATAGTGATTTACTGTTCTACTGCCTACTTCCTAACTACTAAAGAGTTTCGCCCTGGGGAGCCATGGAAAGGACTACAGAATATCGACCCTGAGACTGATCCTAATGTTACACCTGGAAGTGTCCCCAGTGGACCTTCCATTAATACTACTATCCGGGATGTGGATCGTTACCTGCTCAGGGACAGGAGTGGAGGTAAGACAGAATAGGACTGAAGTGTGGCACACAAAGCAGTCTATGCAAATTCAAGTAATTTGCACAGAGGTTTTTATGGATTCCTTGAGAAAATGTTATGACACGTTTTATTTGTAAGGAAAAGTCTATAAAGTACACAGTATGCTTTATGTCTTAATAAATGCCTTATAAATGCACTTGAAGGTTAACTCAAATGTGCAGAAGTAATCCACGTACACTTGTAGTTAGGCTAATGTTGTAAAATGAATGTCACTAACTTTCAAATGTGCTGAAGAACCTGAAACTTTAGATTTGACCCTTTTATAAAAATGGCACACAATGTTCTAAAGAACAACTCGCCAGTTTCTTAATCATATGACTACTTTACTATAAGTCATAGTTTTCCAGATTTATTTATGTTACATGAGAAAGTGGTCTTGAGCTAGAGTATAAACTATAATCTTATTTAATGACAGAGCAAGCTCAAGAGCTCAGACAATCTATTTTTCTCCTTTTCTTAATTTTTTAAATGTAGAATCCAGTAACTTGTTTGTTTTTAACTTTTAGAATCCAAAAGTACAGGTACTTATGAAAAGAATGAAGCCACTATGTTGACAGCTTAAAAACAAACTACAGTAAAGTCAAAGAATACAAATAATAACAGCTACACCCTCTCTAGAGTAGTCAAGTTACATTAAAGATACTAAAGATACAATGAGCACAGATACTTCTAAATCAAACTTAACTTTTCTTCTTCACTCATTTCATTTGCACACTCATTAACTGCAAGGCAGGTACTTTGCAGAAATGTGAACATTACCTTCTTGGCTGGAAAACTGTTTAAATATTCAAATACGGTTCAGATTTCTTGGACTTGCCTCTGACTTCCAGAAAGGTTTTTTTCTTCTGTCTGTCTCTCTTTCGGTTGTTTGGCCTTTCTTCCCCAGCTTGGTTATATGGGAAATCAAGCTCTGGGTTCATGGCATTCTTCACGGCAGCGCAGTGGTTAGCACTGCTGCCTCACAGCACCAGGGATCCAGTTTCAATTCCACCCTCGGACGACTGTCTGTTTGGAGTTTGCACATTCTCACGCTACCTGTTTGAATTTCTTCCAAGTGCTCCGGTTTCTTCCCACAGTCCAAACATGAGCAGGTTAGATGGATTGGTCATGCTAAATTGCCCATAGTGTCCAGAGATATGTAGGTTATGTGGAATAATCATGGGAAATGCAGGGATAGGGCAGTGGGGAGGTTGGTCTGGGTGGGTTGCTCTTTGGAGAGTTGGTGTGGACTCTGAATCAAATGACCTGTTTTCACACAACAGGGATTCTTTGATTCATTTGAGAAGGATTCTAAATTATTTTAACCACCACCCATAAATTGAACTGAGTTCTGATGTAAAGTGATGTTCCTTGCTCTGCAGCTGGTTACTTTAAACTCCAAAAAGTGCTTGAAATAGACCCAAAAACTCAATCTACTCACACTATAAGTAACTTTTTCTTAAAAGATGTAAAACCATTCGTAATACTAATTCATTTCTAAAGATTATACAGTATAGTGCTTGCCTCATTCAATATTGTTATTCTTTCTATCTTCACTATTTCTGCACCATTCTGCTTTCATCGTTGCTCAGTTTTGTAATGTTTTCATGTGACAATAATGTTTTAAGTTAGACTTTGCCACTCTGTTCCTTTCTTTGTACATTTTCTGTTTCATGGACTGTGCAGAATTTCAAAGAGCAAGAGTTGTTAGTAATTCTGATTAGCTGAATGAAGAAGTGCCTAGTTTGCATTTTCTACAGAATGGAGCACTTCAGCAATATTTTACATAGTTTTGTACCTGGCAGGCAAGGTCCATAGCAGATTTTTAGTTGGAATTTAGACAGATAGAATGGATTGAGAATTTATGAACCTAATCTGCTATTTTCACAAATATGAAAGAAAATCCAAACAGCTTTAAATGCTTCCACACTGAGGAATTTTGTGAATTGAATTTAAACAGTAGTATGTTATCATTGAAAGTCATCCTTCTCCATTCCTTTGATTTTCTCGCGTTTTTTCACTACAAAATACAGTGATCATTTTGAGATTTAATTTAAATCATTTTCCATTTCCTTAGTTGCTTTTTTGCTGTTTATACAGGGTCATCCCCAACATCATCTCAGAACGCCACGCTGCCTTCATCTAGTGCCTGGTCCTTCAGTGCCTCTGGCTATACTAGCTCCTTCAGCAGCTCTACATCTGCACCTAATACTGCAGGTAGGGTTCTTTTGCTTCCATTGCTGACCATACTAAACCACTTAAGGAATGAGCAGGATCGCAGCAGTCTTAACATGGGTTTAAAAAGCACAAATAGGTGTGCTGTTTCATGTAGAAAGTCAGCTCATAAAGTGGAATTTAATATAACATCAGGCACATAATTTTCTTTTCTGTGCGTTCATACAACTGGTTCATTAAAAATAACCCTCACTTGTAATTGGATAGAGTGTAGAGCATCATGAAATTCAAATTCATCTCTAAATTCTTCTATATTACTGCTTTGATTCAATTCAGCATTAATGCCTTGACATTTGTTAAACTTTGGGAATTTCTCTCCTCCCATTAGATATACAATAATAATTTTTCTTTGTCCATTCTAGAATGATGGTATCTTCATGAAAGTGACCCTTTTCCATGTGTCCAGGGTGTCGTCACCCAAAGTCAAAGTTGCATTCCTGAAAATCATGATTTTAAGTGAAAGGACTCTGTGAAGCATTAGTTCCTATAGGAGTTAAACTTAAGTTAAAACTGGAGTTAGGATTCATAATTCTTCCTTTGCAGAAAAGAATTCAAACATTATACATGTATCCTGTAAGTTGAAATATAGTAAATTCCTAATTCCTTGGTTGGTAAATTAATAACTGCTAAAATAACATACTTTGATTATTCATAATTTAAAATGTAGCACTCTACTTAGTGTCTCCTGTAGCTGCAGACTCTTTGAGAGTGGAGCCATGGTCTGCGCTGGGAGTGAGGACTCTTTGTCCTCTGAGCTCCAGGCTGCCTGTTGAGGCAGTCATTTTGTTCCTGACCTCATCCCTGTCTGGGGTGCTGCCCAGTACCATAGGGTTCCTGTGTTGTATTGTGGCTTGGAGCTGGTGGGAAAATGAGAGGGGCACTGGTGAGTTTATCTGAGTTGATGTGAAGGCTGCTGTTGTCCAGATAGAGTTCAAAGGCTTTCCTGTGTTGTTCTGTTAGCTGTGGGCTGCACTTTGCTACGGAGCTCCAGCCTTGTAGGAAGGTACTGCCTAGTATGGTATAGGTTGTCACCAGTGGGTCGAAGGAAGGGAGGAGAAGGAGAAGTGGGATGACCGGTAAGGGGATTATGAGGTGAGAGGTGGGGACCAGGGGGATTCTGCTGTGGTTGGAAGTGGCTAGCTCCCTGTTGACTTAGCCAGGAGGTGATGCTGTTGAGCTAGCGCCAGGTCAGGATGTGGGGGCTGCCAAGATATCGCTGACTGGTGCAGGCCACAGGCCAGCTGCTTTGGGCCTGGGCATGTCCTGTGTATTATGGCAATCTCCTGAATGTATGCTGTGGCTGATTGACTTTCCACTGAAGCTAAGGTGTGGTGGACGGGGCAAGCTGGTGCAGCATGAAGGGAGGCCACAAGTTGGAAGATTTGGAGCAACTTCAAGTTTGAGAGGGTGAAATCACTCTAAAATGCTGCCAGTATGGTTAGATAAAGTACTGTAAGTAATGTTAATACGAATCTCACAATGCTCGGTGGGATTTCTGGTTCTAAAAACAGGAACGTTAAAGTGAAATGGCATGGAAGGGGCAACTTAAAAATACAATCTCCCTGTAAACCTAAATACTAAGAACCAACTCATCGGATTGCAATTAGGTACTCCAGTTTATGCTAGAAGACATTTTTGATTCTATATGCTCGCATACAAAAATGTAAACAAATTCTTGCAGAGACCAATCATAGCTACCAAACTCTCAAGCAATCTTTTTCTCAATTCATTAATCACACAAAAATGTCATTTTACCATTTTACGTATTCCTGAAAGGAATCTTAATTTCATTCCACACTTGGAAACCTTTTTAGTTTCGATCTGCCGATCTTGAAACACTTGCAACCAGAGCCAAAATGTCTAAGTTCACTAAGTTCTAATGCCCAGACATTTGATTTCTACTTGTAAGCTCTGCAAATGCTACTGAAGTCATATGTTGAAACATAAAATGTGCTGCTTTTTCTATTGGTTTGTTCTACTTCATTATCTCTTTCCAAATTATGGAGTTGTCAGTAAATTAATTTTAAGTCTTTGTTTATTTTACTGGTTCATTGATGCTCAGGTTTTCTTTCTGTCCCTGCGCAAAGCGCTTGTGTTTGTGCTTTCTTTTACCTCGCTGAGGCCAAGGCAAATCAAGGTACTCGCCTGCCTTATTTAGACATGCAAAGTTTTTTGTTTAGCCTGTGATGGCCATCTATCTTGACGTTAAATGCTGAAAAAAAACTGTCCTTTTGCTAATTTTTACTGATACAGAATTGGTTAATACCTTGTATTGTCGTACACTTCTGTTTTGTTCTCATTCAAGGAATATTAACAGAATAGAAGAGAAATGTCATCGGGAATTAATACCCATGTTGTATATTTTCACCTCTCCAGTCAGTGTTACTGAGTTGAAAGTTTAATTTCTATTTAAAATGGTGCTGAGTACTCTCAGCCTAATTCCTTACAAGTTGGAAATCATTAGACTGACTCAGTGCTATTGACAATGACCATGTGTGTAAAATAATTACTGGACCAGTAAAGAGGGAAAATGAAAAGACAAGTTATTGACAATCAAGACAAATCTAATGGAATGTCTCTTGAATAGTAGGAAAAGTGTAGGTGCAATTTGTCTCTGAGATGGAGATGAGGAAAATGCAAATGCAAATACACGAGCAATTCAAACCTGAAAAGAAAATGGTGAGACTAGTATACCATCATTAGTAAGGTTCCTAAAAGCAGAGAAACAGAGTGCTTTTGGCATGACATTGGTTAAGTTGTTAAAGGTGAATGTCGGGAAGAAATTGCAAAAAGGGCATGAATGCAAAAGTGAAAAATTTATGCTAAATATGTGTAAACTATTTGCTAGGCCAATGTTGGCATCTTGCATGCAAATGTGGTTTCACATTATTTCACAAGAAATTTGTGGTAAAGAAATACTACGATGAGACATCATGGCATTTTTAATCAGAATTTATTGATATGTGGAAAGGCTGCAAATATTTGAACAATCTCTGTTTGCTACTCAAGTTGGAAGTATGTAGAATTTTAAGGAAAGAATTTTTTTGAGATGATAAATATCGAAAAATTTCATTCACCTGTTGACACATTTTTAACGAGGTTTCGATTTCGGATTTTGAGTAGGCTGGAGCTCTTTCTCTAGTATAGAGAAGATATTAGTCCTTCAAAACTATGAAGTATCGATATGGTAGATTTAGAAAAATTGTTTCCTCTTGTGGCTCAATCCAGAGCAAGGGGCCACCATATCCAATAGCTACTAACCAATCAAATAAAATGTTTAGAACCAATTCCTTTCCATAGGTTGGTGAGAATATTCAACTCCGAGTATTGTGGTGTGTTTGTTGAAGTCGAGAAGAAAATACGCAGAGGAAGGAAGTGGAGACTTACAAGGCTAGGGTTGAAAGAGCTATAGCGCATGTGATTATTTGTGTTTATATGGGATGTTGGCATCACTGTCTAAGCCAGCATTTTGTTGCCTCTAATTGCCCTGAGGGTAATGAAGAATAAATTGTTGAGAGTCTGGAGTCACATGCAGGCCAGGCCAAGTAAGATGGTAGATTGCCTTCCCTAAAAGTTACTAGTGAACTACATCAGTTTTTGCAAGAATCGACAGTAGTTGCATGGTCATCATTAGGCTATTCAATTCCAATTTCGATGTCTTCCATGCTGGGATTCAAATTCATGTCTCCAAGAGATTGGGACAAAGAGAGCATGGATTCAGTTGCACACACTGGTTAAAAGAAGGTAAAAACACTGGTAAGTCAGGCAGCAAGTGTGAATCTGGTGACTTCCACATTTAACCTTGCACATTTCATGTACTGTTGGAAACCTATAAGGGTTTGAAAAGATTTTAAATACTGAAGCAAGAAAGCTGCTTCTTTGCCTCAGTGAGGGCTTTTACTCATGAGACTTAGTGTGAGAATGTGTCTTAATTGCTTTGGAGGTAATTTTAACTATGTAGGAATTTTTTTAAAAATGACAGTACGCATTTCCAAACTGCCAGCCTTAACAGCAGCACAAGAGCCACTTGTGTCTCTATCTTGGATCTCTGATGAGAAACATAAACAGATGGGAGCAAGCTCATGAGAACAGGGGAGACACCAGTAGTAACAGTAGCTCTCTTCTTGGCCATTTGATTCTCTATAGGTCACAGTGAAACCACATTTGCATGCAAGATGAGCATGCAAAGGTCAATATTCTCAGCAGAGGGTATTCAGATTGAGGATCATCTTTCTGGACGTGGCTAAGCAACAGTCCATCTGGAGTCCCAGGCCTTCTCAACACGTCATTGCTGACATCTGTATCCACCCAGAGAAGAGCTGTGCGTTTGACCAACCAGAGCTGTTTTGCCAATGGTTATCAAGGTCACCACAACCTGAATTTCTTTGCCTGTAATTTCTTCCAGTGATGTGCTGGAGACAAGTGTAAGGTTTAACAAAGTGCTGCAGACATGTGTATCTCCCAATTGAGCAATGCTATCTTTATTACGTCCTCTTGGCAATTGCTAGGACTTGGCAGCGAAGAGCCTTGGATGGCAAAGGCTGAATTTTTGCAAGTTTAGGGAGTTATGTTTCAATCACTCTGTTCTCAGATCACCCAGGAGTTGCAACCACTCCTTAAATGTTCCTCTTGTATGCATGCAAATTCCAGAAGATCATTCTGCACACCTTTGCAAGCTATTTTGGAATCTGTTTTGATGCCTTCATGCTGTGAAAATCAGTTCTTCCAAACTTCAAGGAAATTCCGCAGATGGTTCCAACCATTGATGCAGGGTCACGTACTCTAGAAACCACAAGAGCAGTCATTGAGCAAGCCTGTCGACTGCTGAAGATGCAATTTTGGTGTTTGGATGGAGTCTGAGACCCCTGCAGTGAACACCATCAAGGATGTCCCAAGTGGTAATGCTGTTCTGTGCTATGCACAGCGTGCCCAGCAGGAGGATCTGGAGGGGCAGGAAGAAGGTGGTGATGACCACTCTGCAGGAGGTGGAACCTGGTGTAACCACATTTCCCCAACGGCTCTTACACCCTGCTGTCAGAAATGTCTGACGTGTGGCCCAGTAGAGACCAGGTTCTGTTAACCTGTCGTTAGCAGCCATCTTCCTTTCTAATGTCAAACCCACTTGATCCCACACCCCAATGCAATGCTTCCTCATGGTTAATAATCCTTCCATTTCACTGATTGTCATGGCTAGTCTCCTTTATCTTTCTGGGCATGGCTATGCAATAGTCTTTCTGGAGTCTCAGACCTTCTCAAAATACTATTTAGTTCATTGCTGATGTCTACATGTGGGCAATGAAAACGACTGACCAATGGAGACTTGAACTTAACCTAAAAATTCATAAACACTTAAAATAATGTTAACATTTTTACAATCACTCATTTTCCTCATTGAAACTATAAAATTCTTCTTTTCTTTTATATGCTTGGCCTTGTAACTTCAGCAGGACTACAGGCAAGCTGCTGGTTCTGTTACTGTTTTGCTGAGATGCTCGTGGCTGATGTCCACCGGATTTCAGAACCTGTGAGGGATTCCACCAAAGATTGTCCCATCAACCCCAATGCAGGAGTAGAGTCAGTCATTGAATCAGGACTGGGCATGTGGGTTCCATTGGAAGATATGGAAGCATTTTGAGGAGAGTCCTCAATTCCATGTTTCCTTTCTCCATCTTTCCACTTGTGGCCCAGCTGCACTTTCTATCAACCAAAAGTGTGAAAAAACATTTTTGAATTTCAGTGAGATGCTGAACAGCCAAGGCAAGACTTTCCTCCTTCCTGTATAAGCTGACAAACTGACACTGATGGCCAACATATGCTCAGTTGACTGATGTTCCATCTAGGTGACCACCCTTCTAGTGGAGGTGGGCACATCAGTGCAAAGCCTGAAATATAATGACAATCATAGAGACAGAATCCTCCATTCCCTCTCCAGTAAATTAAAGCGTGTCTAAATAATGCCTGAAGTGTGTCATTCCGGAATAATTCTTTTATCAGTGACCTCCTATGGGAGGTAAAAGACGTGAATTAAAAACTGGTAAGGAGGAAAGGTTTAAAATAGTCATTGTGCAGCTGATGATATTTCTGACGATACAGGTGACAAACCATATAAATCAGTAATTGTTATGGGCCACGTGTCTGTGATGTCTGATTCTGTCACTGGGTATCTAAGGTATCTATCTCTACATTCCTAATGCTTCCTCTGGAGCAAGCAGAATGCTGTTACTGAAGGACCAGCTCTCCATTCTCTGCCTCTCCATAGAGCTCTTGGCTATTCTGTGCAACAACACATCTACTCTCTGCTTTGTGATAAATGGGTTGTGATTGAAAGGATTAAGGAACAGTATTTGTGGAAAATGAATGTGAAGATGGGTGTGGGATGGCAACGGAATGAGGCTAATGCTGTGACAGCTGTTCTTATGGAGATTTGCGAAGGTGCTTCATGAGAGAAATGGGTTGTACTGAGTATGAGAAAACTGGTCAAGTCAGAGTAAGGGGATTGGCACTTTATATTCTCACTCCTCTTTCATGCCTTCATAAGGTTGTTGAATGTCATTCAGCACTATATCTGTGAGTGAAAGACCACACATTTGCAGCTGATCTCTTCAGCCGTTTGCAGCTTTGTGGTCATGTGAGATTTTACTCAAGTTTTATGGTCTAGTATCAAGTCCCATAATTTTGACTCGGTGATTATGACATAAGTGTATGTAGAAAGTAGATGTATTTAATGGGAAAATATGTAACTATTTAATGGGAGCTTTCTCTGCCTGATCATTTTTTTGTGTTGATTGAGCCCTGTGCAGTAAATAGTTGCAAAGGTGGCATGAGGTATTTCAGCTGAGTTTGTTGTCTGTCTAAAGTTTAGCACAATTAACAAGCCTTTCTTGTGTTGCACCAAACAAAAAAAATTTTCTTTTGGAAAATTCATGCAGTTTTATTATTGTAGCTATTCTTGTCTTTTAGTACTTTCCTACACCACCTACTCTTGCCCCTTTCTTTCCAACCTCAGATACCCTAATAAACATCCGTTTTCATTTCCTACCTGTATGCTTGCTGTCTTCCTCCAGGTTTGGGCTCTTTCCTTCATAAATATTTGCCTCTCAAATACTACTTTCCTGATTTGTGCTTCGTTGTATTTTAATTGTTTTTCATGGATAAAATTTGTAGAACATTCCATCAGAAAGTTAAGTTGTGTAGAGTAGATAAGAGCAAATTTGATTTGAGAAAGGAAGGCGTTGAAATACACCAAAATCCTTGCTGCAGTTTGAAAGGGACATGATGACCAACTTTATGAAGTTGTGTTCTTGGTGGTGAGTTTTTGAGATTTGGTTGCATTATTTCTATAAATTGTCATTCACAGGAAGGCATGTATGAGTTCCTGAAATGCACTTGTGGCTAATGAAGCTGCCGATTAAGTATTGGATTGTGTAAAAATCAGTGTTTTCAGATGTGGTTTTGAGTAGTTCTGTTCAGTGGATCACTTCTCAACATTCCACGGTCATTCGTTGTCTGGTAGAGTTGTGAGATTGCAGGAATTGTATTTCATTGGCTTTTCTGCAAGATTTGCGAATAGAAATCATGCAGCCAAAATTTCTAATTGCATATGCAGATTAGCAGAGAAGTTTGATTTGGTCCATCAGTCGTTAAAATTTATATTTTGGACCATTTTGGATTTGAGTGACTTGAGTTAATTTGAAGACAGGATACATGCAAAAAACAACTTGGGGATATATATAACAAATTCTCTTTTCCAGGGGCCTTTGTCATAGGCTGGGCGAATATTTCTGATGGGTTGGCACAGGCAAGCAAAGTCTCCAACCCAATGTTGTTCTAGGTTTTTTTTTTGAGTATTTTCAGGTTAAAATTGAATAAATTTGAAAACGCTGATTCAAATATTGTAACTTACTGAAACTTAACCTGCTGCGTGAAACCATGTACACATTTAGATGTTCCCAGAAACTTCCCGCGGAAGACAAATTGAATTGGTAGACTTGTGAACCTTCTGAATATTTTCACTTTTTCTTTGACCGTACATGTCAAGGTAATAATATTGAGTGTTTGAACCTTTGAAATGGTCAGCAACAGAGGTCACAGTAATGTGGTTACTGCTTTTCTAAAACTTTGAATTATGGTACTATTCTGAGTTGTGTTTTTGAATATGTTCTGTGGTTATATGATTGTTTCATAATCTCAAATATAAATAAGTGGACCAAGGTTTTACAAGTTCGAGGGGAGCTTTGTATTTTGAGATTCAAAAGGACTTTCAGTGCTCAAAGGCTAAATGGGAAAACGCTCTAAAATAAATGCAGAAATCTATATATTTTGAAGAGCTATGTACCTGGAATTGAAATAAATATATTCATTAACCAAATTTCCTTTGTCTAAAGGAGAGTTCTTTTTGCATTTCAGCTAAACTGACAGATAAGTCCACTTGGTCACCTGGACCCATTGCTCAAACTCAACCATCGCTATCGCATGAATTATGGAAAGTGCCGCTAGGATCCAAAAACACTCGGCCACCACCAGGCCTGACAAACACCAAGCCATCACCATCCTGGGGTGTCAGTTCACTCGGACTCGTCTCAAGCTGGCCAAGCTCTTATTCCTCCAGTAAGTTTTGAATTATTGCAATGCCTTGTGCTCTAGGCATTTGAAATTTGCTCAGTGTCTGAATTTCCACATTTCTGCTGCTTTATGATTTTTAAGTTTCTGGATGTTAAGATTTTTATAATAACAAATAGTGTTCAAGTTTCAGTTGACTTAATTATCTTGTGTAATTGTATTACATTTTGAAACAATTTGAGATCATGAAATATTAAAGGATCAGGTATTTTTCAAGAAGTGGCAATTCAGAACCAGAAAACTTTTCTATACTCTATTCCATGTCCAATATCTGATGGTTTGTGGAATCTCGTATATTAGTTTGTGATCATTTTTCTAGTACACATTTGGCAAATGAACCAGAGGACATGTGGAGTAAGGTGACACTTCATCTCAAGGTTAGGAATTCCTCATCAAGGGAAACCAGGAAATGACTATATACTCAGGTAGTGCATTTCCTATCTTTAAAGCACTTCTTTATTCTCTCTGCTTTGCAGGTGTATAACTTGAGCTGTCTGATTTTTGCAAGTAAATTAAGTTTGCAGAAAGGAAGTTTTTTTTTTTTAAATCCCCATTAGCATGTGAATTTAGCTTTTGGTGCTGAATTTCCCAACTGGAGCAAGGAAATTATTTTGGCATTTTGCCTTTCTTTGAAAATTAATTTAAACTTACCTGGTTTCCCTCGATTATGGCATAAAAAGTGTTGCATTACCATGAAATTAAATTGCTCTTTATCAGGACCCTTTACTAATTTCATATTGTGAAAATTAATAATCATCATCAAAAGCAGGGTGGTCATTCTTAAGTTCCATATTTGATGACCTTTGCTAACTTACTCGGAACAGAGAAAAGAATCGCATTCCTGTTCTTAAGATGAAGTGCCACTTTGCTCCATGAATCCATTAGATTTCCTGAGTTCCATTTGGACACAATCTTCACGAAAGATGGTTTATTGTTTTTTCCATTCTGATGCATAGAATATAGTCTCAGAATTAATGTTAATGGTATGTAATGTGCCTTTTGCCTTTTTAGATTCTGCTTGGAGTACTGACAGCTCTGGAAGAAACAATAGCTGGCTGGTTCTCCGAAACCTCACACCCCAGGTAACAATTTAATAGTGTAATGTGAAAATAACTTCGTTGTTGTAAATGCCATTGGTTGCAATTGAGCTCGAAAATCAGTACATCCAAAATTTTCAAATTCTGTGTAGCTGAACAGAAAATGTACAGATTTACATTTATAGAGTTTAATTATCATCCAATGAACTGCCAAACTATTCCTGCAATGTGTGTCCCATAATAGATTTATAATCCTATTATAATCTCATCTGATTTCCAAGTTTATTACAAAGCCTATTTTAAATGGTATTTAATAAAGTTTAGGTTGAGATGCCAATTATGTCTGATAGCTTTTGCAACTAGAAATTTCGCAAAATTAGTACGAAATAAATAGGTTTTATTGGGTAACATGTATTACACATTATTGAACAAATCAAAACGCTACATGAACAACAATAGAAAAAAGAAGTCCAATGGTAAAGTTATTTTAAAAATTCATCACTACTTAACAGCAATAATTCTTGAGTCAGATGGTTATGGGTTCAAGCCCCAGTGCAGAACCTTGAGGAGAATCTCAAAAATCTCCTTCATGAGTGACTGACTGAAAAGGTGTTGGAGTTTAGACTTGCATAGTTTGTTCTGAGAAAATTATATACTAGGAAATTAGAAATGTAGTATCCTTAGCTTCTGTAAAACCCCAGAATGTAACTATTGGGCCAGCTGTTTTTTCCTCTCCATTCTACTGTCCTTTCCCACAGCTAAAAGCTTTTCTCTTTCATAGACTGCTAGAGCTTTGGGACAATTTATCTAGTAGAACAACTGAAGACAGTTGCATTAAATGGTTTATTTTCCTTTTCCAGGGGTGTTTTGTTTTTCCTGAGTTGGATTTACAGATTTGTTAGCTTGTAGTCATCTTAATTCACTTGATTAATCACGATAATGTTACTCAACCAACCACTCAGATTCTGGAGGGTATAGGGTTTGGTAATTAGTAATTTTAGTTAGCTACTTTCCATTTAGTTAAAAATTGAAATGTCTTTGATGTTTGTCAAGTGATGACTGCTATTTAAATAAGTAACAAAAGCAGAAATTGCTGGAGAAACTCTGAAAGACCACTCGACCTGAAACATTAACTCCCCTTCCTCTCTACAGATGCTGCCAGACCTGCTGAGTTTCTTCAGCAATTTCTGTTTTTGTTCTGGATTTCCAGCATCCATAATTTTTTTTATTAAATTTAAGTAAGTAATTAGTTTTAAAGTCGTGGAGTCTACAACGCAGCAAAAGACCCTTCGGCTCATCAAATCTATACTGTTCAAGAACACTATTTTAATCCAATTTACCAGTAGTTGGCCTGTAGCCTTGTATGACTTGGAATTCCAAGTACGCATCTAAATATTACTTGAATGTTGTGAGGTTTCCTGCCTCTGCCACCTTTTGCAGGCGGTGAGTTCTAGATTCCCACCACCCTCTGAGTGGTTGGCGGGTGGATTGTTTCACCACACTTCTATAACAGTAACATGTGCCAAGCAAACTTATAAAGTTGTGGACGTTACTGCGCATGTGAATGTTTCAAACTGATGCAAGTGATCATGGCTCACTTATTTGCTACAGATCGATGGTTCGACCTTGCGGACTTTATGCATGCAACATGGTCCATTGATAACATTCCATCTGAACCTGACCCAAGGAAATGCTGTGGTTCGCTACAGTTCCAAGGAAGAAGCAGCTAAGGCCCAGAAGTCTCTGCACATGTAAGTGTTTTTGATTACTCTAGCGTTCGATTTTACCATAATTTTAATTTTCTTTGGATTTAAATTAGAAACAAGCCCCTTTGAAGTTTAGGAAAAGACAGGTCAAAGTAAAAAGAAACATTTCACACTATTTCTACAGACTATCATAAGCCCTGATTTAATGTATTTACTTTTGACTCTCCCCTACCCTTTTTTTTTAAATCCTTTGCTTGTCATCTATCTGTTGGTGGCCACCCCACAGCTCAGTGCAAATGGGTCAACCTTTTCTGGTTTGTGGTCAGGCCTCCATTTCCTGTCCTTCCCCTTAGTTGTTTCTTTTCATTTAACTTCCTCCATCAATCTACCCACTTATAACCGACTCCTCAAACATCTCCTTTACTAAATTTGTCTGTACAACTGTCTCTGAACCTTGGATGTTAGTTTTTTGATTTTTTTTGCCGGCTCATTCTACCCAGTCTAGGCAAGCAATGTGTCTAGAACAGTGTCTGATCTTATACTTTTTAAAAAAAAAACCTCCAAACCAAACAGCTGAGAAGTCAACATCTAGAAATTTCACCGCCAACATTTGTTGATTCCTATGCAGCCGCCAGAAAAGTAACTGACTGAAAAAATTTCAATTATGAATTTTTCTTCAAATTAATGAACAATGTTGAATGAAAGTTTGTTCCAGCTTATGAAAGCTTATACATGTAGACTGGAAAAAAGTGCAACATGTCCTAAGGTACTGATATGTTATTGCAGATACTTCACAGAATCTCAAAATTGCCACCAGACAGAAGGAAGGCATTCAACCTGCTATCTGTGCTGACTCTCCAAATAAGTATTTCACCTCATGCCATTCTCCTGCCATGTCCCTATAATTCTGCACATTGTTCCTTTTCAAAGAACCATCTAATTCCCTTTTGAATGCCTTGATTGAACTTGCCTCTGCCACTGTCAGACAGTGCATCCCAAATCCTTGCCACTTGCTACAGAAAGTGTTTTTCCTCACACCATTTGCCCTTTCTTTTACTCATTTCTTTACATCTGTGCTCTCTTGCTCTTGATCCTTTCATGAGGAGGAAGATTTTCTCCTGTTTCTTCTGTCCAGAACCCTAATGATTGTACATACTTCACACAAATCTCCAATTAGCTTCTCTTCAAGCAAAGCAATCTGAGGTGTCTCCAGTCTATCTTTGTAACTCTACGATTATTTATATCTGTAACCATTTTCATCAACCTCTTCTGTACCCCTTCCAACTCATTCCTTCACATCCATCCTAACTAGAAGTATTACTCCAGCTAAGGCTGAACCTGTGCCTATCAAGTTCAAATTAGCCTCCTTGCTCAGTACTCTCTGCCCCTATCAGTGAAGTGTGAGGTACTGTATTAACTTTTGTTAACTACTTTCTCAGCCTATCTTACTACCTTTTGATGACTTAGGCATCTGTACATTCAGGTCCCTCTACTCTTGCATCCAATTTAGAGTTATACTTTTTTTATTTAAATTGCCTCAATCAAACTTGCCTCCACCACTGAGACTGTGCCTCCCATATCCTAGCCACATGTTGCAAAGAAAATGATTTTAGTCATACCACTTGCACTTCTTCCTACCAAAATATGCCACGTTGAACTTCATCTGCCAGCTGTCCCCCCACTCCACCAACTTATTATTATTGTTCTTTTGAAGTTCTGCATTAGTTGCCAGTCTCTCTTTATACTTGATCTTTGCTTTTTTAAACTTGTTTTTTTTTTTCCCCCAACCTTTTATATTCCCTCTGGTCTTCAGTTGTATTTTCTAACTGATCTTTGTTATGAATTCATTGCAGGAACTCTTCCTCCTTCTTCCTGTTAAACTACTGCTACCCCAGTCTATATTCAGGCAATTATAGTCCCTATTGTAACTAATTGACAGTTTTCACTCCTCCTTGCAAATTTATTCCTCTACGCTGAGCAAAATTATGTACCAAGTAATGTAATCACACTTTTTAAAATTCCTCAACTCTTGCTAAATTGATATTATCTTGGCCCTACTGGAACATCCTCTTTCTCCAATGCTGTAATGCTAACATCCAGTCCTGCCCTATAATTCTGCACATTGTTTCTTTTCAAATAATCATCTAATTCTTTCAATGCTTGATTGGACTTTCCTCTACCACTCTCAGACAGCACATCCCAGTTCCTAGCCTTGTAGGCCATCCAATGCCTCTCTTCCTATATACTGTTTAGCTGCAGAGTGATCACATCCAAAAACTTCCAATCACATCACTCTCAGTCTCACATATGCACTGTGGTGAGATCAAGCTGCTGCAACTGATGGCATTTCCTGCACAAATGGTAATCCAGAGTATTGGAAACATCCTGGAGTTTTCACGTAGCACAGGAGATATGCACTCTTGAGATTAAAGCAGCCTGCCATTCCTTTATTTATGAGTTAACCTTGTTGTGGCTTATAAAAAAAACTTTATCCGTCTGAATAAAGCCTTCCTAGTACTGAAAAATTCAATTGATGCCTAATACACTTTTTAAAAATAGGATAAACCTTTCTTAAGTACTTCTTTTCCATCTCCCCCAAGTTCACTCCTACACTCAATCTGCTTCTCGTTCAGGTATGGTCTGCTGACTCTGTGCCCCCTGCATACCAGTAGTTTGAAAGCCCATCGAAACAGAATTAGAATGATTTAACTTTCTCTACCATTTTTTTAAAAGTCACAATGCTCAAAAAAAGTCAATTTCCTTAATACATCAGTATTTAAATTGTCATGGAAAAACAAGTTGCAAATTAGCTGTAAAGGGATATATTGAAGAAACTGAAATACATACGTTTGGTACACACCATTTTAAAAACTGCAGTTCAAATTTTGCAATAGGTGCAACAATTCCTGGTAAATTCTATATTTTAAAGGTTATTTTTATTACCAGTTATCATTTTAAGTGTTTGAGTTAATTCAACTTAGTCTGTAATGTTCAACCCTCCTTTCTTTCCAGGTGCGTTCTGGGAAACACTACCATCCTCGCTGAATTTGCTAGTGATGAGGAAGTTAACCGTTTCTTTGCACAAGGTCAAACACTGACACAGACCTCTAGCTGGCAGTCTAACACAGGAACCAATCAGAGCCGACTTGGGTCGAGCACCAACTCTCACGGATTGGTCCGCAATGATCTGGGTCACTGGAATACTACAAGCCTGAGTGGGAAAGGAGCAAATGACCTCCTATGGAGTGGTGTCCCCCAGTACTCCAGCAGCCTATGGGGGCCTCCAAACAGTGATGATACCAGAGTAATTGGCAGCCCTACGCCTATAAACACCTTGCTACCTGGTGATCTTCTCAGTGGAGAATCCATGTAGGGAAAACCGACGATCTTGTGGAGCTAACAATCAGCACTAAACAACCCAATTTTGGGCATCATATTGACCCTTGATCCACAACCTTTTTTTGGTTGGGTGTGGAGGGTGGGCAGGGAAATGGGAGGGAGGGGAAGGGGCATGGAAAGTCTACTTTTGTGAGCCTGGGTTTAGTATGCACATTACCCTTGCTTTCATTATTTCGTTGATCCCAAAAACATATCAACACAAATACTTGAATCAAGCAGGCCAATAATGAAATGTGAAAACCGTCTAATTTACACTTCCAAGATGTTGTCATCACAAATAGGCTCAAACAAAAAAAGGTTTGTTTGTCTGTCTGTGTGCGTGTGCGTGTGTGTGTGTGTGTGTGTGTGTGTGTGTGTGTGTGTGTGTGTGTGAGAGAGAGAGAGAGAGAGAACGATGGCTCAGATGTGTGAGTGCGTATGAAATCCGTGTGTTTTTGTTTCTTTATACAGTATATGCTTTTATTTGCTTGTCAGTCAAATTATTAGCTTCTAACTTTGCACTGAGTGTATGCAGCCCCTCCAGCTAATCTTACAAAGGGGGCCAGCAGCAATTCATGTGTAAATGTTTACTCAAGGACGCTCTTAAACAGTGTGTGCTCTGGAGATGATGTGTATACCTACCTTTAGTGGCTTTTTTTGTGGACTAATGCAAGAGAATTATTACAGGAGTATTGCACCAGTTTTCTTTCAGAGTATAAAATTTAAAAAAAAAATTAAAAATGCTCTAGTTGAACTGTGGCCATAGCTACACGATAGAGTGGACCCAGCCTGCAAGCAGGCAATGGGAAGCACTTGGACTGCATATTTTTGTGACTGATTTGGAGGTGCCTGTGTCTGGTATCCTCCTGTTTACAAACTTTTTGGAACCTTAGAGAAAGGAAAAACAAAATGAAAAAAGGACAATTACTCTTCCATCAAAACCTATTTTCAGAATGAAGATGTGCTACTTCAGAACTCTGGGAATGAACAGTGTTGTTTTTTTTTTTGGCCATTGTTGTGTATTTTTTCCTTCATAAATGTTTGCTCACTTTCTTGCACACAGTGGATGATGTCTCAGGAAGGCCTGAATTTTCTGGGGAGCTACTCCACGCCATTTCATGTATTTTAACCCAACTTCTAGCACTGAAGAAAAGAAGAAAATACCTGTTTATTCTGTAGCAGTTACTTATTTACCAAATAATGGACACAACAATGTTTGAAGAGTGCTTTATGAAATGCTTTATGTTTTAAAAAGAAATCAATGCTTTTGATTGTGTTAAAGACAATGGACTAACATACTGTAAGGTATGTTACTGTATAAACTCTCCTTGTCCCAGCCTGCTTTGATCAGGTAACTTGTGCATTAACTTTGGATAGGTTTTATTGGTTTTATCGAGCTGTTGTTGGAAGTGGAAAGCTGGTTTAAAGAGGATCATGAACTATGCACAAATGGGTTCAAGACTTTGTTTTTCCTGAATTTTAGTAGAGTGTATTTACTTGTTTCTTCTCAGAAGGTATTTACATCTCATTGCCATTATGTATATTCCAAGCCGAAAATAGTCTTGAGTAGTAGAAAAAAACCTGACTTTAAAGTTTTAGGGGGTTTGAGGGAAGAAAAGGGTATGAACATCTGTGTTTATTTCATTTTTGCCTTTGAATTGCAAATGTTGATAATCCAAGTTTTGTTTTTAAAGTTGGTGGCTTTTAACATTTTCTCCTCATAGAATGTGATTGTAAAACATATGCACAGAAGATTGCTTTCTTGAACTTATTGGGCTTCTTGAGAACTATCATTTACAGGTTTTATTCCCTTACAGTTGTACAAGATCAATTAATGCATTATCTTTTGGAAATGAAGGATAATTTTTATTCACTTACACTGAGCAGATCCCAAAGGTTCAGTATGTTGTGGTAAAGCTGCTTTCTGTTCTATTCATTGTTTACTCTGAGATAGCCGATTACCACGATGTATTGCACTAACTGGATATACTCAGTTTACTAAAGAGGTTGCCCCATCAGCTCTACAAAGATGGTGCTCTAAGTGGCTCTGAAACATTAAATGGTGAATACTTAATAAACTATAACAGAAACAAACATTTTAAAATAATTTAGGAAAGCTTGTAAAAGTTTCTTTTCCAAAGTATATAGTGCTATGTTGAAAATCTTTTGACAAAATTCCCAATTAAACTAATCAGTGAACCATTCCATGAGTTTGACACCCTGGTCTGGTACCAGTGAATGTGTGTGTGTATGTGTTTGTGTGTGTGTGTGTGTGTGTGTGTGTATGTATGTTTGTTTGTGTGTGTATATATATTATATATATTATATATACATATATATGTTGGCAGTTTATATCCACCCACTTGCTTCTCGGGTGCAGCCTATACAAAACCCTGTGACTAAATGAAATAATTTAATTTGTAACTACAAAGTGACACCGGCATTCCAAATTGGTGTAGTCTGATTTGAAGAGGAATTGTACTTCTAATCCCAAGTTGCTATTGGAAGTCTTAATGAAGAATTTTGTCTGCACCTCCTTTTTTGGGGGGGGGCGGGAAATATGGTGGCATTTGTTTTGGGTTTCAGTACACATTGTGAAATTTGACTATCCTAACCCATGGAGGTTTGCTGACCTTGAAATTTGTATTGAAGAATTTGATTGTTGTACAGTATAAATAACAGGCTTTTGTATATAATCTACTAGGGTTCAAACTCCAATACAGGCATGTTACGTCAAAGCACTGTTGTAATTTGAAATTAGTTACTCACTTTTAAGCAGTTTCAGAGCCCAATGGAAGTGTTCAATGTGGATGTGAGATATCAAATGTCAATGCCACCTCCAGCACTAAGCGGAATTTGTGATTTTGTTAAAAAGTGGAACTTGTTTTTAAAGAAACTGTCCAAACTTTACTTTGTTGAGATAACAAAGCACAATTAGCTTCATTAAATGAAAAATGAAAACAAACGTTTAAAGAAACAAGGATTTTTCAGGTGGGAACATTTGGATGTTTAAATGCATTTGAAATTAAAGCTTGATTTGGATTTACCCACGTAAGTAAACAAGTTTGATCCATTTGTTTACTTTAATGGATACCCCTCCCTTTGCATGTTTCCTTGTAACAGAACAAGCAGCAGAACTGACACAAGCCAGAGCATTGAAAAGTTGTGACAAACATTGTGCGTGCATACTTTGTGCAGCAAATCAATTCATCCAAATCAAGTTTTCACCTTGTAATGTTAAAACATATTTTTCATTTTTGCTGGTAGAGTATGTATTATTGAATCAACAATGAATAAAAGATTATGCCTCCATTTACCTCTTCAAGCTATATGCTTTTACTTGACACACTTGAGCTATTAACTCCTACAAGTTAAGCATTGGATTTCAACAGGTTTTTTTTTTTGAAAACGAAACTGGAATGATGTTTTGCACTGGAGATTCATTGTTATCAATAAACGCTAAGCAATGCTGCATTCAAGTATATAGTACAAAACCAGAATTCATTTTCTGAGTTGCTCTCTATTTAGCCAAATACTCTGGTCCATTGGTTTTTAAAAAAAAGTGTTCTCATTGTTCAGAATTGAATGTATTTCAATCGTTTTGAAGTAATCGGGCAAGAGCAAACAAGATGCGTATGAATAAGATTACAGATGAATGCAGAGTTCAGTTTTGAATGATAATTTATAATCTGCAAATTAATGCTCAGCATGATTATTGTTATTAAATAGAATTTGATGGACAGCAGCGTACAATTCATTTTATACAGATCTGGTCGATAAAGTAGTACTGATATGAGAATTTGCAGTTATGTTATCTTTTCATCAAAATTGTATTAAATGTAAAATAACAAAGCATTTTTGCTTAGTCTTGGTAATAACATAGGACAAGGAGTTTATGCAACTGTAGAATTGAGATAAAGTATCTGGATTCAGTGTGCAAATTTTTTTCTATTCATTTGTGGGATGTGGACTTCTAACATTTATTGCCAATCTCTAATTGCCCAGAAGACAGTTAAAAGTCAACAACACTAATGTGAGTCTGGAGTCACACGTAGACCAGACCAGGTAAAGCCAGTTGTTTCCTTCCCTATAGGATTTTAGCGAATCGGTTGGGCTTTTCCAGCAATCAACAGTCGTTTCGTGGTCATCGTTAGACTATTGATTCCAGATTTCTATTGAATTAAGTATCCATCATCTGTCATTACAGGCTTCAAATGCAGCTCCCTAGAACCTTAATAGATATCTGGATTAATAGTCCAGTGATCATACCAGTACGTAGATGATAGACTAGATTATTCAGTCAATAGCCAAGCACCAGCTTTCCTTGGACTGTTTTGCCAAATATTTTAACACTGGGTGCGTGTTTCATTACTTCATTGTAGTGCATGTTTATTTAATGGCCTGGACTTTCGGGTGTTATTGATGACAAAGTCATCAACATTCAGAGTTATCACATTGACTTCCCACATAGGCAGAATAATGTGATCTCAAAGAAAACTCCCCACAAAGATCTCGTGTTCTCTATCACTGTTTTACACATTTCTCAACAGCTGTTTAACTGGGGAGCCAAGACAAAGGAATGTCTTGATATAGCTGCAATGGTGTCAGCAAATTAGCAACCAGTCATGTTGAAATATTCAGCCTGCCAACTTGGAAGTTAAAAATGCTTGGGGCCATGTTTTTGCCATGACAAAGAACTTTTCATTGTAGTTGAAATGGTGTAGGTAGCCTGAAATCACATTCCACTCCCAAATATGGCACTTATTGTTTTCACAGGGGCAGAATCAGGCCTTGGGTAACAGTGTGGAGCTGGAGGAACACAGCAGACCAGGCAGCATCAGAGTAGCAGAAAAGTTGATGTTTTGGTTCTGGACCCTTCAGAACCCAACCTGAAACGTCAACTTTCCTGCTCCTCCAATGTTGCCTGGCCTGCTGTGTTCCTCCAGTACCACACTGTGTTATCTCCGACTCCGGCATCAGCAGTTCTTACTATTTCTGGCAGAAACAGGCCAGGTTGTTTTGTGCATGTATGTTTTATGGAGGCAGCTAGCCATATGAGTCACTGGCTGTTTCCACTGAAGTGGAGTTGCAGCATCACTGTTGCATGGAACTCAATATGCATGTTGAACCAGTGAAAGCAGGTCTGTTTGTAGATTTGTTTGGACAGCCACAGTACCCTTTTGGAAGTGGTCCTAAGACACTTTTTGTGGTAGGATGGGGGAGTTTGGGAGTCACTTACAGTGAGGGGCGATCGGAAATCCTTGGAGAGGGAGAGGTTTTGCCATTTATACTTTGAGATTCTGAGCAGTAGAGAAGATTGTGGCTAAACCCTTTGGAGCTTTCAAACCTGATGATATGTCATGTCTTATTTTTTGTAAAAGTGAGAGCTCTTAATAGAATATGGTCTATAAGATAGAACTTTAATATGGGCTTGTTTCATTACCTATTTGCATGGGTACAATTCGATATTAGGCATTGAATGAGTGGTGGGTGGAATGATGGGTTGACAAAACAGAATGGGAAATCTGAGGGCCCATAAGGGGCAGATGGTATTTAGGTGGCAAGGGTTGACATGGTTGGGGAATGGTGAGAGTGTTGGGGTGAGGATGGGATGTTTTATATTTTACTCTTTTTTTTTTTTTTTTTTTAATTTTTGAGAGAGTGCTGGAGTCCTGCGACAGGATTTTTGCTCAGCCTGCCCTGGAATCCAGCAGTCTCCTCAGCTCTTCCTGCGTTGCTGAACCTGAAATACAATTCAATGTGCTTCTCCCACCTTCGTCAACGGAACCCAAAACAAAAATTGGGATCTTAACGTCCTTTACTTTTAATCTATATGTTCAGATATTAAAGTAAATGAATGTAATTGAATGAAGATAGGAACTGAACTAAAGATAAACTTAAAAATTGCACTATTTTGTAAATATATTTTAATTGTTATGAAGAAATTTGACCTTCCGCTATTTTAAAATTGGCTTACCTGGAGCCAGTGATAATAAAGAGAGTTTGCTGTTCAATAGCAGGTAGACTTCATAAACCAGAGTGTGTAGTTTTTTTTTGCGTTCCCAACAAAAATATCAGCAAAAATAATTAAAGTTATTGTCATAATGTGATTTCCACTTTTGTAGTCAGGGAGTACTTCAATAATGCATTCTTTAGAGAAACACAGAATCGCTGACAGTGACTTCAGGATTGCTGCATTATTCTGCCTATGTGTACAATCACTGATAACTCTGGATGCTGGCGCCTTTGTCATCAATAAGACCCAAAAGTTCAGGCCATTAAACAACAGTGCTACAATGGAATAGTGAAACATTGAACTAATGTTAAAATACTTTGCAAAAGAATCCAAGAAAAGCTGGTGCTTAAGAATGCTGAAGAAATTGGTGAAATAAGAACTGTTATGATCCAAGCTTATGTTAAAACTGGACAAGTCAGATCCCAGACTAAAATCTGGCTTGCTTGTATTTTTTTAATACAACGTGACAGTCTTTCACTGAAATATAAGAATACAAGGCTGCAGATTTGACTTTAACAATAAAACAAGTTTATCATATAAAACAAATAAAAATAAAACAAAACCATTGATTATATAACAGTTCGAACAATTTTGAAACACATGGCAAAACAAAATCTATGAAATCTGTAGATTTAAAAGAAAATTATATATAAATCATACCTTTCATAATACCTCCCCAAAGAAGAATGAAAATATATCTATAAAGAACTTTCAGTTCCCGTAAAAATTATGTTTAACACTGCCAACACAATGTTAATAGTGCTTGATACTTCACATAAGTCTGTTTACATAACAGCACTCAATTACCAATATTTACTTTTCCAGATGGATGAATCACTTTTAAATTGTTGGAGGATTAAACCCCATTCAAACAATTTAATTCTTGTCTCAAAAAAATCAAATGTTTGAGGGCCATATAAATAACAACAGTTTAATTCACATTGGTGATGTATATTTCAAAATAATGTAGAACCAATAGGAGACTCATATCCCCTCTGCTATTAACTATTTCAGTTGGGGTGTGCAGTTTTGTCTGAGTGCCTTTTTTATCCAGATGTGATTAAAAGAAAATCAAAGCTGGGAACCAAATGTTTGGGGGTGTGTGAATTTTTGAAAGGACAGGCAGGAAAGAAACATTGGTATGGGGTGGAATAGCAATAACAATAGCAAAAAATGATATTTGATTGATTGGAAAGTGTAGGATCCATATGAAAGGAGGCAGGTAGGTGTAATCTTAATCAGTTGGAACAGAAAATAAATTAGAAGATAATGAGGGTATGTAACAAAGTCAGTACCTTAATCATGGGTGACTTTAGCCTTGTAGACTGGCCCAGTCAGATTGGAAGTGGGTAGCTACAAGGAAGAAATCATAGTGTGTATTCAGCACAGTTTCCTAGAACAAAATGTTGTGCATCTAGCCTGGGATCAAGCTATTTTGGATCTGTTGATGTATAATGAGGCAGGTTTAATAAATTATATCAGAGTAAAAGAGCCCCTCGGAAATAGTGACCATAACATGTTAGAATTTAACACTTCGGTTTGAGAGGGAGAAACTTGAGTTGAAAATAACCCTGGTAAGCTGAAATAAGGTAATTATGAAGGAATGAGGGAAAAGCTGGCTTGAGTGGACTGGGACAGGAGTTTAGCTGCAATGACAGTTGAGGAACAATGGCAGACTTTTAAGAAAATGGTTCATGGTTCACAGCAAAGATAAATATTCCAGCAAGGGGGTGAGCCAACCATGGTTAACCAAGTAAGTTAAGAAAAGCATCAAACTGAATGAAAATAAATTCAACGTGGCAAAGATTTAGTTGTGAGCCAGAGGGTTGGGAAAGTCTTCAAAAGGTGACCAAAAAATAATAGAGGGAGAATATAAGCATTGAACATACATGCACAGGTAATATCAAGAGGGACAGCAAGAAATTCTTTCAATATATAAAAAGAAACTGCAAAATCAAAGTGAACAAAGGCGCCATAGAGAGTGAGGCTGAGGAAGTTATAGTGAGGGACCAAGAAATGGCAGAGGAGTTGAATAAATACCTTGCATAAACCTTCATGGTGGAAAATGCTAATAGCATTCCGAAGTTACTAAACATTCAATTGGCAAAGGAGAAGAGAAAATAAGTACAACTATCGTTGGAGAAAAAGTGCTAGGGAAGCCAATGGAGCTGAAGACTGAAAAGTGCCCTTGAGCTGATTAGATGCAATCTAGGATCTAAAAGGAAGTAGCTACAGACATAGTGAATGCAATGGTCATAATCATCCAAGAATTCAGATTCTGGAAAAGTCTGAGGAC